TTTAAAAAAACCAAATTTTATATCTACGAAACTTTGCTCCACTAACTCAAAAACAAAGCCAGCATTGATCCAGCACCCCCTGAATTTTTTTTAATGAAAAAACTACCCCTAATCTGAACAATCAAATTCAGGTGGTAAAACAATAAAATAACTAATTAAAAAATTTTATAACCTGGTATTTTTACTCCAGCAAGGCAGAAACAAAGCCAGAAATGCTCCCTCACCCTTTAAAATTTTTTTAAATCGAAAAAACCACCCTTAAATAGAAAAATTCAAATTTAAGTACCCGTGTGGAAAAAGCCACGATCTTGCCCTCAAGAGTTCGGGGCCCCCGGCGGGGGCCCATGAGGGCTGATCCATATGGCGAATCCATGAGGGGCCCCGCATGGATCGCCCTCATGATCGATTAGCAAAATTTTCTAAGTCCAAAAATCAAATATTTTTTTATCACCAAAAAATTAATGTTTATAATGATTCAGAACAACGAAAAACGCGTTTTTAATAAAAATATATTTACACTTTTTTTGAATATAACACTCACACTTATGGCAAAATAGATGAGGGCCACCGTAGGGGCCCGCATGGATCGCCCTCATGATCGATTAGCAAAATTTTCTAAGTCCAAAAATCAAATATTTTTTTATCAACAAAAAATGAATGTTTCCAATGATTCAAAACAACGAAAAACGCGTTTTTAATAAAAATATATTTACACTTTTTTGAAAATTCACCTGAGATGATTCATGATAATAATCATAAAGCATATAATTAATTATATTTTATAAATTGCATTTGATTGGAAAATATAATTTAATATCTTAACTTTAACTAAATGATGTTAAGCACTTTTCTTTGTTAGGTATTTTTCAAGTTTAAATAGCATCAAGAAGTTAGCATTCGTTTTGAAGTAGCGTGCGTAGCGTAGTTGGTAAAGCGTTAGACTCATAGTCCGTAGGTCGTAGGTTCGATTCCCCCCATGCGTTAGATTTATTTATTTCTCAGGTTTGCGTTTAATCATTAATTCTATGTATGAATTAATTGAAAAATGAAAATATCCGTTAATAGTATGCATAAATTACATATTTTTTAATTTTTTAATTAATTAATTTATTATTACTTTTAATTATATCCGACAGTTAATTAATTAGAACGTTAATTAATAAATTCAATTTGAGTAAGAATTTAATTTAAAATTGAATAATTATTAAATAAATATGTTATTTATTCATAACTTAAGCTTATTTATTATTAATTAACTTTTATTATTAATATTATTGATTAAAAAACATTATGGCAAACTTGAGGGCAAGATGAGGGCAAACGTGAGGGCCCATAAGGGCGCCCGTAGGGGCACCCTCATGGATCGCCCATGCGGGCGCCCTCATCGATGAGCATGTCGTTTCCATGAGGGGCCCCTATGGATCATCCATATGCGGCCCTCATGGCATGAGGGCGATCCATAAGGGCCCCCGCTGGGGGCCCACATCACTTTTCCACACGGGTAGTAAAAAAATATTAAATTACCGGCTTTTTTTAAAAACAGAACCTTACATGTTTATAGTTTTGCTCTACTAACTCAAAAAAACAAAGCCATCATTGATCCAGCACCCCCTGATTTTTTTTAATCGAAAAAACTACCCCTAATCTGAAGAATCAAATTCAGGAGGTAAAACAATAAAATAACTGATTAAAAAATTTTATAACCAGATATTTTTACTCCAGCAATGCAGAAACAAAGCCAGAAATGCACCCTCACCCTTTAAAATTTTTTTAAATCGAAAAAACCACCCTGAAATAGAAAAATTCAAATTTAAGAAGTAAAAAAATATTAAATTACCAGCTTTTTTTAAAAACAGATCCTTACATGTTTGAAGTTTTGCTCTACTAATTAAAAAAAATAAAGCCAGCATTGACCCATCACCCCCTGAATTTTTTTAATCAAAAAAACTACCCCTAATCTGAAGAATCAAATTCAGGAGATAAAACAACAAAATAACTGATTGACAAATTTTATAAGCAGATATTTTTACTCCAGCAATGCAGAAACAAAGCCAGAAATGCTCCCTCACCCTCTAAATTTTTTTTAAATCGAAAAAACCACCCTTAAATAGAAAAATTCAAATTTAAGAAGTAAAAAAATATTAAATTACCGGCTTTTTTTAAAAACAGAACCTTACATGTATGTAGTTTTGCTCTACTAACTCAAAAAAATAAAGCTAGCATTGATCCATCACCCTCTGAATTTTTTTAAATAAAAAAACTACCCTTAACCTGAAGAATCAAACTTAGGAGGTAAAACAATAAAATAACTGATTAAAAAAGTTTATAACTAGGTATTTTTACTCCAGCAATGCGGAAACATACCTGGCTGTAAAATTTTTCAATCAGTTATTATATTGTATTACCTCCTGAATTTGATTCTTCAGATTAGGGGTAGTTTTTTCGATTAAACAAATTCAGAGGTTGATGAATCAATGCTGGCTTTGTTTTTGAGTTAGTGGAGCGGAAATACATAGATGTAGTAAGGTTTTGTTTTAAAAAAGTCAGTTATTTAATTTTTATTCTCCTAAATTTGAATTTTTCTATTTAAGGGTGGTTCTTTCGATTTAAAAAAAAATTTAGTGGGTGAGGGAGCATTTCTGGCTTTGTTTCTGCCTTGCTGGAGTAAAAATACCTGGTTATAAAATTTTTTAATCAGTTATTTTATTGTTTTACCTCCTGAATTTGATTTTTCAGATTAGGGGTAGTTTTTTCGATTAAAAAAATTCGTGGGTTGCTGGATCAATGCTGGCTTTGTTTTTTTGAGTTAGTAGAGCAAAACTACAAACATGTAAGGTTCTGTTTTTAAAAAAAGCCGGTAATTTAATATTTTTTTACTTCTTAAATTTGAATTTTTCTATTTAAGGGTGGTTTTTTCGATTTAAAAAAATTTTAAAGGGTGAGGGAGCATTTCTGGCTTTGTTTCTGCATTGCTGGAGTAAAAATATCTGGTTATAAAATTTTTTAATCAGTTATTTTATTGTTTTACCTCCTGAATTTGATTCTTCAGATTAGGGGTAGTTTTTTCGATTAAAAAAATTCAGGGGGTGCTGTATCAATGCTGGCTTTGTTTTTGAGTTAGTGGAGCAAAGTTTCGTAGATGTAAAATTTGGTTTTTTTAAAAAATAAGTTGATTTATTTTTTATCTCCGAAGTGTTGTTTTGTCCGTTTAAGGGTGGTTTTGGTCGATTTAAAAAAAAAACTGAGGGTGATGGAGCAATTCGTTGCTCAGATTCGGTTTCAGCGGGCCAAAATACTATAGGAAATATATGTGTAGTTCAAGAAACAGACAACTTTTTTTTTTGTGTGCCTGTGTTATATGTGCACATATATAAGAATTGTCTATTATTACTAAATCTATATACTATTTCTATATCGATGATGAATTGAAACAAAAGAATATAAAGTAATATGATTTAAAGAAAACACGCATAATGTAAAGGAAGACTTATATTTAAAAAAGACTCTCTGATCCCGATACTCAATTTCGTTAATGATATAAGGAAATATTTATAGTTAAGGTAGAATATTATTATTAATTAAATAAATCTTTATGTTTGAGAAGTTTTCAATATTTATATTTCTTATCGAAATTTCAAATTTTTTCTTAATACATTTATAACTTAAACGTGCGCTGCAAGGAAAGATTAGGATTAACTAAACAAAATCATAAAATGTATAATTTTGTTAAATGTAGAGATAAATGGGACCCTTCCTTTTGTGTATCTTAAGTGCAATTTGCAATAACTGTACAGATGTCGTCGATATTAAGGTTTATTACTGTCATTCTGAAAACGTCTCAATTCAGGTAAAATAAGGGTCCTAGCAAAAGGTTAGTGTCTTTCCGACGCGAGTGTTAATTTTGAAAACGCCCTAAAAACGCCTTTAACTTACTAATAACCAATAAGATCCCTTTTTAATTTGAAAACCCCACTACTACATTTTCAGATGATGTATTTCAAACTGCAAAATGTACATATTAAAATTTATAAAACAGATTGTAACAAGATTCGAAACTGAGTACATCTCTCAGCCTATTCAATAAATATAATTTGCAAAAGTATTTCCGTGTCCTAAATTATTAACATGCCTTATTAGTTTAATGCATGTGCAAGAAGATTTATTAATAATATTAATTAAAAAATTCTTGCCTTATACAATTTATAAAACATGGTCCTTCGAGCCGGATTCACCAAATTAAATCGAATAAACCGCGAAATTTAAATGTGGTTGAATTTAATCGTGAATTCACATGGATACGGAATCAATTACTAAAATCGAATTAAACAAAGGTTAATTCATAATCTTACGAGACAATTTCGAGCATTAATTGTGAACTTAGCGCGTAATTCGGAATTCAGTGTACGAATTCGACGTGCAATAAAAATATAAGTGCGTTATACGGAATTCAGTGTATGAATTCGACGGACTGGACTCAAACAAGTGTGTTGACTGAAATTCAGTATTTTAATTCAAAGTACTGACCCCATTTAAATACTTTTCATTAAATGTTTAAATTTGTTGTGTTATAATTCAATAAAATACATAAAGCAAAGGGTTGTGTAAAACATGATCTTGTTATAAAACCATAAGTAATTCGAACTTTTAATTTGGTGAAAAACACAGACGTTATTGAAGTGAAGTTGAATTTTAAACGAGAATACCACGATTTTACAGTGTAGTGATATTTTCCGAAGGTTCAATGTTTACATAAAAAAGCACAAAAGGTACGAGACTAACTAAATCATCCTAGAATCAATCATCATCAAGGCAGTCAAGGAAAATGATAAATTCTGAAACAGCTGCTTATCGAGTCACTGGCCTAGAGAATTTACGGGTAAATCTTGTAAGCAATCAAGTAAGTTTAATAATCAATGTGTCTAATCCTTTTATTCATTTCCTAAACATAAAATTCAGTACAGTTTTAATTAAGTGAATAATTGTTCTTATACGAATTCAAAATGACGTTATCCGAGGAAGAAATTGAGACTTTGAAAAGAAAGCGAGCTCCTCTTAAAGGAAAGCTTACGAAATTCATAAATTTTATAGATAACAAAGCTAATAAAAATAAAGTCACGGAAATTAAAATGCGTTTAGAAGGTCTGTCTGGTATTTTAGACGTATTTGAATCAATTCAATTACAAGGAGACGCAGCGACAAAAACTACGGGAAAAGAATTTGACGAATTTGAAAAACTTTATTATGAAACAATTAGCAGAGCTGTTGATTTGATACAAAGTTCAAACCCACAACAGTCAGCTATTAATTCAGGCAATTCAAGTCAAATCACTATGTCAAGTCAAAGAGTAGCCTTTTCGAATCAAGTTAAACTACCCCAAATAGAATTAATAACGTTCGATGGTACTTACGACAAATGGTTAGATTTTTATAACTCTTTTAATTCAATGGTGCATGATAATCCAAATCTTTCAAAAATTCAAAAATTGTTTTATCTAAAGTCGTGTTTGAAAGAGGAGGCCGTCACCACAATAAACGCGTTAGAAATATCAGAAGATAATTATAAAATTGCATGGAATTTATTAACTGAACGTTACAATAATAAACGGGTTATAGCACAAAAACATGTCAAAACTTTAATGGAAATACCCAATATTTCAAAAGAATCAACAAGTGAACTGCGAAAATTGTTAGATACAGTGAGAAGTCATTTACGTTCTTTAAAATCATTAGGGGAACCAGTTGAACATTGGGACACCTTGTTAATTTATGTGATTACGGCAAAAACCGATAGAAACTCTCATCGCGAGTGGGAAAAATCCATTACTACAACCGATATGCCGCAAATGAAAATCTTTTTAGAATTTCTAGAGCAACGTTGTCAAATATTACAAGTAACGTCAATAAATGTAACTCCTAACAATCAAAATCAAGCAAACGGTTTAGGAAAATCTCAAAATAATACACAAAAAAAGCAATCTTTTATGACATCGAAAAAACCGGTCTCGTGTTTAATTTGTAAAGAAACTCATAAAATATACGAATGCGAAAAGTTTAAGGGCATGACTGTTAAAGAACGCGCTAATGTAATCAAGGAAAATAGAGTATGCTTCAACTGTCTTAATAGTGGTCATCGAAATAATGAATGTAAATGGTCGGGTTGCAAAAAATGCGGTCAAAAACACAATACGTTACTACATTACGAAAAATTTAATAATAACGAAAAATCGGAAGTAAGCGAAGGCAAATCGGATTCTGTTCAATCAGCATCAAATTCAAAACTTGTTGTGGCAATAACGAGATCAAGTCCCTCACAAGTGTTATTGTCAACCGCTCTAATTGATATAAAAGATAAAGATGGTAATACTTTTCAAGCTCGCGTATTGTTAGATAATGGTTCGCAATCACACTTTATTACGCAAAAATTCACAAATTTGTTAAAATTACCTCGCAAAAACGTAGAAATTCCAGTTGAAGGTTTAAATCAATTGGAAACGCGAATAAAACAATCAGTTCAAGCCGAAATTCTTTCTAAAAAACGGAATTATAAAGAAAGGGTAGAGTTTCTTATTATACCAAGTATATGTGACCAACTACCAAATGAATTTGTAGGAAAAAATTCTTTGAATATTCCACAACACATACAATTAGCCGATCCCGAGTTTTTTGAACCAAAGAAAATTGATGCATTGTTAGGTGTCGAAATATTTTACGATTAATTATGCGTAGGTCAAATTGACATCGTAGGACAAAAGGCAAAATTGCAAATAACAAAGTTAGGTTGGATAATTTCGGGCAAAATATTATCTGACAATTCAAAAAATAATTCGAAAAAATGCATGTTTTTACAAGCTTCACAAAACACATTACAAAAATATATGACAAAATTTTGGGAAATCGAAGAACCCTGCTAAAAATAAAATCAGAAATCAGTCTCAAAACGTCAGAAATCCTGACGTTTTGAGACTATTTTGATGTTCTGTGATGCTGCTGACTAATTCTGACTTAAATAGTTTTTATGGGCCTGACGTTTTCTAAAAAGTGACGATTTCTCACTACGTTTTATTTTTTTTATAAAAAGGGTTCCAAGAGAGGTACCAAGGCCACTCAAACCCACCATATAACTCTATTATATTATATATTCCCTTTTTCCAACAGAAGGGTCCTTTCGAGGGTCCATCAGGTTTTATGACATTTTAATGCAAAATAAAAAATTATTTAAATTTAAATAAATATTTTTTTAAATGTTATATTTGTAATTTATAGATTTTAACGATTCCAATGATATAAAACATTATGTAAAAACTCTAAAATTACATAATGATTATACAATAAATACTCCATTAATTAAAATTAATTCTCAATAATTTAAAAATATTTGCAAAAAATTTTATATCGTTGTAATTGTATTAACATGTACATTACGAATATAATATTTAAAAATCATTTTTTTCAAATGCAACAATTTTTAATTTTGCAATGAAAAGCCATAAAACCATAAAAGATCCTTCTGGCCTATACTTTTCTTTTTGTCCTTTTCTAACGTACATATAATATATGTGGAATCACGTTTGTAAGACAAGGACAGAAAAGGGAAGGCGTAATGACTACGACTATACTTTTAAAGTCCCTACTTCAAATTTGTATTTATTATTTTACAGTAAGCTAGTTTCCTTACATTTAGTTATAAGAAAGCAACATATGTTGAAAACCTATTCTTACCATTGTGTTAACTCTATATATATATATATATATATTTGAAAAAAATTAGAAATCGCTGGCTATTTCACATAAAAGTTTATTTTTTTACAACTATAGATGAGCAAAAACATTCTGGTCTCTTGTAAAATAGAATATACCCTACCGAAAGAGTGGTACTGGAATGGTACTGAATTGGACTTGGCTTGAGTTCCACTTCAGTACCACTACCTGATAACCCATAAGAAGACATTTTTAAAGTACTTTAACAATAGTTTTAAAGGTATATAAGATCAACAAACCGTCTCTCGCGAAATACGTGTAAAACAGCAAAAAAAAACATAATAGTTTGTAGAAAATTTCTGTTAAGTTTGGAAATTATATTGCAATCCCTCCTTGAACAATAGACCCCTAGGTCCTTTGTTGAAGGATTAAAATTTTAACCCGAGTTTTATTGCTTAAAAAATTTGTAATTTTAATAACTCAACTTTAAAAAATATATATTCAGATTCGTTAATATTTCCAGATTATGAATATCTAAAATTTATCATAAAATAATTACATTTAAAAAAGTTATAATTTATCTCGTATACCTTAAGTTTGATAAAAAAATGGACATCATTTTTGAATTTAGCTGACAAAGGAAATATCATATGCATAATAATGTATGAAAATAATATAAATCCATGAAAAACAAATATAATATTGAAATAAATATAAAGTTTTAGTTTAAACATATTGAAAAAGCTAGTCGCTTTTCACTTTTATGAGGGTATTAACGGTAACTCGACCCTTTTCGCAGGTAAATTTCCCAGTTCCATTTCAGTACCAAAATGCACCAAATTAGTACTGAGTTGGTACTGAGCCCTCAGTTCCAATTTCCCAGTACCAATCCAGTACCACTCTTTCGGTAGGGTATGAATTGATCGCTCAATCAATCTCTGAGCGAATTTGATCCAGTTTCCACTAAATATAAATTTGATTTGAACCAAATATTACATCTAATTATAGTGCAGTATGCTAAAAAGAGAAATTAAAATTAGTAATTATTTAGTTGATTTGTGGAAGAATTATGTTAAATTGAATTTTAATAATATAGTAATTAATATATGCATATTAATTAATTCTTATCATTATAATTAATTATAATAGTGATGAATGTGCTAAAACGTGAGCGAAAAAACTGATAAAATTCGCTCAGAGTTTACTTGAGACAATCCGACAGTATCTTATTATTCTAGACTATTTTATTTGTATATTACACATATTCTTTTAAGTTCGAATTCAAATAATATTTACATACGAATTTTTTGTTTAATTAAATATTTGCTGAAGCAAATTTTATTAATTGAATACATTAATATATGATAATTGGACTACAAATGTTTTTTGATCAATATAACAATATACCTATTACTATTTTAACTTTACTTGTTAATTTTTAAAAATTATAAAATTTTTTAAAAATAATAATAATTATCAACAAAATATGTTGATAAAATTGAAAAAAAGTAATAAGATCTTCTATTTTCATAAAACCGTATTCTATTTTTAAGATCTCAGTTAGGTTAGTTTAGCTCAGGGGTTAGGTATTCGGTTTGCGTTCGTTAGGTTGTGAGTTCGATTCCCTGCGTTTGCGAGATTTTCTTCGATAGGAGTAAATAAATATAATAAATTGTAAAAATAATAATTAAGAATGTGTAACGTAAAGATAAAAAAATGTTGTACGATAATTTATTTTTTTAATGATAAAATATTGATTTTTTTTAATTTTTAAATATTTGTAGTCAGAATTCATGAGAAGTAAGTCAGGAATCTTCAAAACTATTTTATAGAAAGAAATGTCATTTAACATCACAAATAGTCACAGGGTTTAATGATTTATGGTATGGCAAAAAAAAGGGTCTCCGACCCTCATAAAAAATCTGACTACTATTGACGATTCTTTGACTAAACCTCACTTATTGTGGTGTTCTGTGACTGCAATCGTAACAAAAACAGTCTCAAAACGTCAGAGATCCTGACTAATTTTTTGACGTTTTGTGATTTTATTTTTAGCAGGGAATTACACAAGAAAACATTTTTATCGGTAGAAGAATTTAAGGTCGAAGAACATTTTAAAACAAATACAAAACGTGATACTATTACAGGTCAGTATAAGGTAAAATTACCTTTCAACGAAAAAATCGAAAAACTACACTGAAAAAAATTTGGGTGGGCAGACATCTCAGCGTTGCGAGCGCTGCGTTTCTTTGCTTAAAGTATGACTGAGATTCCGTTCGGGGAGCGGTGCGCTACCGGTACGGGTGAGCAGATTTCTTATTGACAAGGTAAGGCAATGAAGGAACTGCAGCTCTACCGCTACGGGTAGTCTGAGCTCCCGGAACGGGATGTCAGCCGATCGAAAAAGGGGTCGTTGGCGTTCGTCGATTTGATAAAGCAGCTATACTTGCTGGTACAGTTGTTCACCCGAATTTCTTTCAGTGTAGGGGACTCACGAAAATTAGCCGAGAAACAATTTTTTGCACTGGAAAGAAAACTCGATAAAAATCAAAATTTAAAAAACGAATATATTAAAAATATGCGCGAAGCTATTGAATTAAAACACATGGTAAAAATCGAACCTAATCAGATTGCTAAAAAACATTGTTTTTTACCTCACCATCCGGTAATAAAGGAATCTAGTTCTACTACGAAAGTCAGAATAGTTTATAATGCGTCTGCAAAAACTAGTACAGGTGTCTCCTTGAACGATTGTTTAATGGTAGATTCAAATGTTCAAAGTAATAGTATTGACATTTTATTTCGATTTCGAACTCACGAGATCGTCTTATTGTCGGATATAGAAAAAATGTTTAAACAAATTAGACTCGATGATAACGATATAAATTATCAACTTATTTTATGGCGCGAAAATTCAAATGAAGAGTTGCAGATATTTGCAATTCCCGTAGTATTATTTGGTTGCGCCTCTGCGCCCTTTTTAGCAACTAGAGTTCTTAATCAATTAGCCGAAGATGAAAAATTAAAATTTTCAATAGCTAGTAAAATTTTGAGAGAAGATACTTACGTGGACGATGTAAACACAGGGACTAATAATGTTTCCGATGCGATAATACTACGCGACGAGTTAATAGGCATCACTAAAGCAGGTGGATTTAATTTAAGAAAATGGAGTTCGAATAATGTAACGGTTATTGAATCATTGCCTCATAATTTATCTCACGTAAGTTTATTGACCGATTCTGACGATAAAGAAATGAAAGCGTTAGGCATACAATGGAATAGACAAACAGATGAAATAACTTATAGCGTTAAAGAAGATGAATTTAATTTGAAAATCACAAAAAGAAGCGTATTGTCGAATATCGCCCAACTCTATGCATTGGCGATATACACCTTCTCAGGACAATGCGGCGGATATTCTGTCACGCGGTCAGCTACCTGCTGAGTTCCTTGAAAATAGGCATTGGAAATTAGGCCCAGAGTGGTTGAAGGCAGACTCGTCACAATGGCCTGAAAACATTGTACAAGTAGTACCCTTAATTGAATTAAAGCAAACTCGCGTTTTTAATCAGGTACTAATATCGAAGCAGTTTTTTGAAAAATATTCAAATATTGATGAAGCTACGCGAATAATGGCTTATGTTTTGCGTTTCAAATCTAAACAACGCGGTCACTTATCAATAAAGGAATTAAATCAAGCACTTCTTGTTATTTTAAAGCTTGTTCAAAGAGCTAATTTTCAAGAAGAATTTAAACAATTATCTCAAAACAAAACCATTCGAGTAAATAGTAATTTAAGAGCATTGAATCCGTTTTTAGATGCTGATGGTTTAATTCGAGTAGGCGGTCGTTTAAAAAATTCATTGTTACCGTACAATGAGAAACATCAAATCGTTTTGCCTAAAAACAATCACATAACAAATTTAATAATTCGTAAACAACACATGTTGAATCTCCACGGCAGAGAGCAGACAACACTTAATGCGGTTAGATTGAAATATTGGCCTGTAAACGGAAGAAGTATAGTAAAATCAATTATAAATAAATGCGTGACATGTTTTCGTGCTAAACCGAAAATTTCCTCATACATTATGGGCGATCTCCCAGAAAACAGAGTTATTCAAACACGACCTTTTTTAAACACAGGTTTGGATTATTGTGGTCCATTCTACATAAAGGAGAAAAAATACAGAAATCGTGGTAAAATAAAGGTTTACGCGTGTATTTTTGTTTGCTTCGCTACTAAGGCAATTCACATTGAAATGATTAATGATTTGACTACTGATGCATTTTTAAGTGGTTTACGTAGATTTTTTGCTAGACGGGGAATTTCTTTAAATTTATACTCTGATAATGCTACAAATTTTGTCGGAGCAAATAATGAGTTAAAACGCGTAATACAATTGTTAAAATCACAAGAACACAATAACGCTGTTACTCAATTTTTAAACACAAGGGGTACTCAATGGCATTTTTCACCTCCTAATTCACCACATTTTGGTGGATTATGGGAGGCAGGAGTAAAATCCTTTAAGGGTCATTTTTACAAAACGGTAGACGATAAATTATTCACTTATGAAGAATTAATTACGTATTCTTCTGAAATAGAAGCTGTACTGAATTCAAGACCCATTACTCCTTTATCCGAAGATCCTAACGATTTACGTGCCTTAACTCCTGCACACTTCCTTATTGGAGACACATTCACAAATTTGCCTGAATTGAATCTTACTGATTTACCTGTCAATCGTCTATCAAATTGGGAACATATCCAATACGTCAAACAACATTTCTGGAAGAGGTGGTCCAAGGAATATTTGAATCAACTTAATGTGAGGTCCAAATGGCAATTTCAAAAATCAGACAACATTAAAATCGGCACAATGGTTCTTCTCAAGGAAGATAATGCACCTACTTTACATTGGCCATTGGGGCGAATAGTAGAGGTATTTCCGGGTGACGACGGTATTGTGAGAGTGATATCAGTGAAAACTCACTCCGGAGTTTACAAACGAGCAGTGACACGTGTTGTGCCATTACCAATTTAAAAATTCCATATATGAACAATTAATTAAAGACTCTAAGAAACTGTGAAATTAAACTATTTGAAACATTATTGTTATTTTGAACTAGGTTCGTTCAAGGCGGGCGGTATGTTTGAGAAGTTTACAATATTTATATCTCTTATCGAAATTTCAAATTTTTTCTTAATACATTTATAACTTAAACGTGCGCTGCAAGGAAAGATTAGGATTAACTAAACAAAATCATAAAATGTATAATTTTGTTAAATGTAGAGATAAATGGGACCCTTCCTTTTGTGTATCTTAAGTGCAATTTGCAATAACTGTACAGATGTCGTCGATATTAAGGTTTATTACTGTCATTCTGAAAACGTCTCAATTCAGGTAAAATAAGGGTCCTAGCAAAAGGTTAGTGTCTTTCCGACGCGAGTGTTAATTTTGAAAACGCCCTAAAAACGCCTTTAACTTACTAATAACCAATAAGATCCCTTTTTAATTTGAAAACCCCACTACTACATTTTCAGATGATGTATTTCAAACTGCAAAATGTACATATTAAAAATTATAAAACAGATTGTAACAAGATTCGAAACTGAGAACATCTCTCAGCCTATTCAATAAATATAATTTGCAAAAGTATTTCCGTGTCCTAAATTATTAACATGCCTTATTAGTTTAATGCATGTGCAAGAAGATTTATTAATAATATTAATTAAAAAATTCTTGCCTTAAACAATTTATAAAAAACAACACATTACGTTTCACGATTACCGGTGTTTTACTTGCAGCTATTTTGTCAGTAATCAAGATGCACTGTCCTGAGCCTAATCATTGCATTGATTCTTTGTATATGTTCAAGCAATATTTTGAACATTTGAAAAGTCCCGTACAACGACATTTTTATTGTAAAAATTGTTTAAGTAATATTGACGACGAAAATCAACAATGTCCTAATTGTTTTGATCGAACTGAACTTAAGGCGTTTGTATACCTCACCTATCTCGAGTATACTTGTGTCGTGTACCATTGGAGTAAAAGAGACAGAAATATCTTTTGTTTCTTTTACTCCAATAGTACACGACAGAAGTATACTCGGGATCGGTGAGGTATACAAGCGCCTTTAGCTATTTTATGACGATGTCTATCATTTCTCAATTGGAAGCTTTATATAGCAGGCGTGGTTTTCGAAAAAGTTGAATTATAAATACAATAAGGTTAAATTGATAGAAGGGAATATTGAAGACATTTACGACGGAAGAGTGTACAAAGAGTTAAGTAGAGATGGAGAAATATTGGCAGATCGGAATAATATATCTTTTTGTTGGTACACGGACGGTGTAAGTGTCTTCAAGTCATCAAAATTTTCATTTTGGCCGCTATACCCTGCCGGAAGGGTGGTACTGGAAAATTGGAACTGAGGGCTCAGTACCAACTCAGTACTAATTTGGTGCATTTTGGTACTGAAATGGAACTGGGAAATTTACCTGCGAAAAGGATCGAGTTACCGTTAATACCCTCATAAAAGTGAAAAGCGACTAGCTTTTTCAATATGTTTAAACTAATACTTTATATTTATTTCAATATTATATTTGATTTTTCTGGATTTATATTATTTTCATACACTATTATGCATATGATATGTCCTTTGGCAGCTAAATTCAAAAATGATGTCCATTTTTTGTCAAACTTAAGGTATAGGAGATAAATTATAACTTTCTTAAATGTAATTTTTTTTGGATAAATTTTAGATATTCATAATCTGGAAATATTAACGAATCTCAATATATATTTTTTAAAGTTGAGTTATTAAAATTATAAATTTTTTAAGCAATAAAACTCGGGTTAAAATTTTAATCCTTCAACAAAGGACCTAGGGGTCTATTGTTTAAGGAGGGATTGCAATATAATTTCCAAACTTAACAGAAATTTTCTACAAACTATTATGTTTTTTTTTTTTGCTGTTTTACACGTATATCGTGAGAGACGGTTTGTTGATCTTATATACCTTTAAAACTATTGTTAAAGTACTTTAAAAATGTCTTCTTATGGGTTATCAGGTAGTGGTACTGAAGTGGAATTCAAGCCAAGTCTAATTCAGTACCATTCCAGTACCATTCTTTCGGTAGGGTATCTAGTAATTAATGAGCTTCCTTACGAAGAGCGTTTCAAGAAGGAAAATTTAATCCTGGCAGGAATGTGGTTTGGTGAAGAGAAGCCTTCACCAAACATGTTCCTGTTGCCCTTATATGAGGAAATACATAGAATTTCCCATGGAGTATCATTTGACGTCCCAGATGTTGAAGATCCAATCAACGTAAGGGGAATAATAATTTGCGGGACATGTGATCTTCCGGCGAAGGCCCTTTTCTTAAACATGAAACAGTATAATGGCAAATATGGCAAATATACACACACACATACTGAAATGGTATTTCAATAGTCAAAAAAAATTTTATTACAAAATAATTATAAATTGTTTAAAAATTATAAATGAATAAATATTAAAAATTAAATTATACAAAATAATGAAATTAAAACTAGATAAATTGAATTTCTGAAAATAATAGAAAGAGAGAGAAGATATCTATAGATAACACAATGAAAACATAAACAGGAAAAATAATAGAAAGAGAAGGTAGATATAAATACGAATTAAGAGAATTATTAATTTAATTTAAAGTTTTTTCTTTACAAATAAGAATTTTTATAGATTATTATTTAAAAAATAAATTTATTTTATATTTCTTTTTTTTATTATTTAGAAAGTAAAATAATAAAAATTATTTTAAAAAATTGCTGAAATTAATAATAATTAAATAAAATTATATGTTATATTAAAATAAAAATTATTTAAAAATGAATGGTAAAAGTTAAATAATTTTAAAATTATTATTTTTTGAGAAATTAAAAATTTTAGAAAAAGAAAATCAGTTAGAGAAAAATGATTGACAGGTAGACAATGGCATTGTTCTTGGCGAACGTTAGAAACGGAATTAGAGAGAGAAAAATATCTCCGTCCTTAAAAAATAATTTAAATGTAATTGGCTATTCGAAAATAGACGCCGCGAAAAATCCAAATAGAGGGAGAAATTGGCGGTAATAAATACATGGAAGAAGCGCCCAGCGTAAAGTGGTGAGGGAAACTCGCGGATTTTCGCTCAATCAATTTAAAATTCCTTACTCATACACTCGCACATTTTGAATTTTACTTACCCCAGAAAATTAAGGGTAGGGACGCAACTATATAAGCCAAGTAAACGCGTGCTTCTGTCTCTTTTGTCTGAACAGTTTTAAACTGGTAAGAGCTTTCTTCTATATTTTATTATAAAAAAACTTCAGAACTATATAATCTACAAAGTCAAGTCTTTCAAACTTGAGAAGTGCAGATTGTTGGGGGCTTTCTAACGATCTCTACCTAAGCGATCTGCATCTCTGGGCGAGAAAGATAACAAGGACTAAATCGTAATTAAAAATAAAATTTGTTTAAAATTGTTAATTTTGAGAGACCAATTGTTAGGGGCTCTCTAACGATTTCTACCAATACGATTGGTTCTTCTTAAATTGACAATTAAAAATTGTCGAAGAGGAAAGTCTGTTGTCAGGAGCTTTCGAAAGATTTCTACCAACACGACTGACTTTCCAAATCTGCAATAAAATAAATTATTATTTAACAAAACAACAAAAAAAATACCAACAAACAAATCTTCAAAGTCAAGCCACGGAAAATCAATGGTCAGGGGCTTTCTAACGATCTCTACCAACACCATTGATTGTCCAAGAGTGGTTAAAATGACAAATCGTAATTCTTGTTTAATATTCTTATATGCCATGTGCATTGCAATAGGCGATCCACATGACAATTTGAAAGATTAAACTGTAGAGATGACCCTGACAACCCCAAGAAATAGCTAGAATAGGATATAATTAATTTATTTAAATTGATTATCTAGTAGGGTTTTTCAGAGATAAATCTATTGAAGTTTAATGTAAACATTATAGTTTGACAATATATTATTGAACTATGATGAGTCATTAAAGTTTAATTTTTTTTATACCAAGAATTGAAAATTTAGAAATAGAGTTAGGAGAAACTAACCCTTAAAGTTTTGTTAGGTAAAGTTTTATAATACTGTTAAAATAATTTATTTTATATTTTTTTTGTAGATTTCAAAAACTACATAAACAAATTGCAAATCGATTTTTAATTGTGAGATTATCACAAAATCAAGGTGTAATTATATTTATTTTTATTTATTTATAATTACTAAGTTAGAAATAAGTTTTATTCTATTCAGAATTGAGAAAATTAATCAGGAAAGACTCACAATCGTTTATATAAACAAAGAAAAACTATATTGTCAGATTAATTGTTTATTTACATTACTCAAATAAAAATAATTAATTCTTTTATTTATTATTATTTTCTTAGCATCAAATTCTTTGAAACGATAAACAATCAATTGTTTAAACAAGTAAAAGAATTTTGAAAAGTTAATAACAAAAGCTAAAAAACTAAATAATTATTGGAAAGATTCCTCTAATTTAGTTTGAAAAGCGACAAATAATTTAAAAATAAAAGAGAAAGAATATTGATATATATAAGTATAATATAGAATTTGAAAAAGCAAAAAAAAGATATATACTAACGTATTTTCATTCATAAATTTCACTACACGTTTACAATCTTATCTGATGATATAGTTAGCACGTGTCGCATTATATTGAATAATAGAAATTAAGAATATAAAGTCCCTTTAAATTTAGACAATACCATTGTTTCTTTTGTATTAAAGATAATAGAATGTGGGTGATACTTCCCTAAACATTTACGTTTACAATTCATCGGCCACATGTTTGAACTCATTTGCTTCTCAGAATCGATGTGTCACATAAATTTAATTAAATAAGAATAAGAAATTACATAATATATTAATAATCCCCGGACTGAGAGCTTATGAATGCTTCAATACATACATCTGGACAATTGATCAGGATCTCATATAACATGTTTCTATATAGAGAAAAATTTGTTTTCACCACTTTGAAAATTTTTATAAACGAAAGGACTAGCGGTCACCATTAGAGTTGATGATTAACTTTTTATCAAGTTTTTCGAAAAAAACTGACAATTTTAGGAAAAAAAATGTATTTTTTCACCAAAAACGAACAAAATTTTATTTAAAGGGATTCAAATTTATATACTTTAAGGTATTTTTACGTGTATAGATTACAAAAAAAATATAGCGAGCACGATTGGAGTTGATGATAAATTTTTATCAAATTTTTAAAGGAAAATGATAAATTTAGGGAAAAAATGTTTTTTTCCACCAAAAACAAAAACTTTTTTTTCTAAAGTGATTCAAATTTATACATTTTTAAATTCAGCAAGACGATTGGAGTTGATTTTTCTGGTCCTGTCAAGAAAAAACTGATAATTTTAGAAAAAATTATGAATTTTCTCCCAATAACGAAAAAAATTTTATCTAAAGGGCTTCAAATTTATTATTTTCACGTATTTTTATGTGTAGATTATAGAAATAATTTAATAAACATGATAAGAAGTGAAAAAAGTGGACTTTTTCCTTGAGTTTATTTCTTCAGTCGTTACAACTCTAAAATAAAAAAAATCGGACAAATGAGAGTTACACTCGCACTGAAATCGAGGGTTCCGTACTCGAAGCGAACTTATTTGGTATAAAAACAAATGTTTAAAAAATATGTGTTGTATGTCAAATAATGTAAGTGATACAAAAAGGAACAATTTTATAAAATTTAAGAAAATTGTTACTCTTCGAATCACTTATATTATTTAACATACAACACATATTTTTTAAACATTTGTTTTTATACCAAATAAGTTCGCTTCGAGTACGGAACCCTCGATTTCAGTGCGAGTGTAACTCGCACTTGTCCGATTTTTAATAACAAATATGCATCTACTTTCAGAAAATTTTAAAATTCACCGAAACCACTCGAAAATCATTACTCGGGAGTTTTTGATGTCGCTGATTACGAATTTGAGGTTGATTTTTAAAAATTCGATTTTTATATTTACCACGTTCTTTAGCCGTCAAATTGTTTAAACGTTGTCCAACTCTTACCAAAAGAGTGGAGGTAAACGTAGTTTCTATAAATCTGTCAGAAATGTGACCGTTTGTCTCCGTATGACAGACAGGAAAATTGTCCAAGTTTTCCTATTATCCCTCCTTCTCTAATGACGTAATTAATGCATTCTTTAATAATTATTCTAAGCTGCAAATTTGCAAAATTAAATAAAAGTGTAAAATAATTTGAAACAACTCCCTGTGTATAAATTGGTTTATGCTAAAGACAAGGTCTCTGTTAACTGTTAAAATAAATCCAATTATAAAATTTTGCTTCTAATTGCGTGCCACGAAATTTAGAAACGGACATTGAATCATAAAATATCATTTCCATTAAATTTTGAACGAACTTTAGTAAGAGATTGACAACATTGTTTATTTTACAATTAAACAATTAATTTTTCAGAAACAATGGGTAAAAATTTATTTTACTTCAAACAGACATATTTTATGTGTACTTTTACTAATTTTTATTAAAATCCATTCTGAGATATGAATTTTTTTTAATTATACGCTGTTAAAAACTTCAAGTGTTTATAACTCAGAGAATTAAAATTTTTTTAAATATATTAAATTGGTGAGGGTGCTCTAAAAAATAATGAATTTCTCATAAATGTTCTGTTTCATTACCAAAGCTATTTATTTTAAAAATAGAAATATGTACATATACACATAAAAAAAAGGTCGTCATTTATTCAGTTAATTCATTGCAATATTTATAAAATAACAGATTTCATCGCTTCAAGTTGACTTATTTTCTTACCCAATCGTGATTTTCGGGCTCCTAAAACTTTCTTACCGTTTACTTCTTTGATCTGTGTTTCTTCATAGCACATAATTTTGAGACATGGATAAAATAGAGGAAGAATAGGAAGTTCACCTAATCTAACATGCATATTGTCAAAAGCCATGCCTATTTTACTATAATCTGAACGTTCGCCAATTTCTGGCATGTAAAATGTTTTCGAGAAACGTTGACTAAAGTGTGTCAATAAAGTAAATTTTGAATTCATTTTTTCACCAATTTCTATCGCTTGACATACAGTTGAATGAAGTTTTTCTTTTGCATGCTGTATATTCTCACCACCAAATGTTGCTTCATGAATTAATAAGTCACAATTTTCACCTAATTTTACAAGACGTTCACAAGGCATCGTGTCACCGCTGTAAATTAAATAAAAATTTATTTATTTACGTTTTGGAGTCGTTGATTATATTTCATCGAATTGTCTCGAAACTTGTTACTTAGGGGTTTCTGAGTTCACTAAATCCAAATTTGGTGCCTTATTTTATTAAACAAACAAATAATCGACAAAAAGATTTCGGCGCTGTTTTTAAAATTTACCAATCAGAAATTATCAAAGAAAATCATGATTGATAAATTTTAAAAACAGCGCCAAAATTCTATCAAGGAACCGTGCAACTAATTTTGTTATTTTTAATTTGTAATAATTTTAAGTGAAATTAGAAAATCCCCAAATTAAGTAACAATTTATAGGTAAATTTAATATTTATATTTAATAATAAAATTCAATACCTGTAAACTATTTTCTGATTATTAGCAAGAGTAAAAGCAACGCCATATGAAAAAGCACAATGGTCCACATACACTGTTCTAATGTCCTTAACATTTAGAGTTTCATACATTTTTTCCTTAATTTCTAAAGATATCGTTTGCTCATTTGTTAGTAATTTGGATAATGAAATCAAAGTATATGATTGTGAAATGTTCTCGTATCTAAGATCGAAAAAGTATAACCAAGAAAGTATTCTTTCTGGAGCAAGAAGATAAACAGGTTCTTTGTTAGAGCGCAACCTCTCTTGCAAAATTCCAATCAGTCCTAATTGATGGTCAGCATGAAGATGTGAAATATAAATTGCCTGTCAATAAAATTATATTGTATAAATAAATAAATTTATATATATTAATTTTTAGTATGTTTTCAACTATTTTTGCATAGTAAATAAAGACTAATTTTTTAATGTCAACCAGAAAGACAAAGCAAAGAGATGATTTTTTTTTAAACAAAAATAGTCGATAAGAAAATCAGGAAATTTTAAAAGAACCTTAATCGTAGAAAGAATATTATCCGTTTCATCTCCATAAATTCTAAACAGTTGATGTATAGATCCTTCTCCACAGTCTAAAACAATACTTGTATCTTCATTAATCCTAAAAAGCATACCACTTGTGTTTCTCATTTTATTATTTGCAGTCGAGCTTGTTCCTAATACAACAAGTTTTGGATATTCTGGAATTTCGCCCAATTTCTTCTCCATTAAACTAACATCTGTTTGAACCTCTGCCAAAGCATCTAAATATCCATTCATTTGAAAGACTTCATTCAAATATTCTTGAGGATGAAGTTTCAATTCCATTAATTTATTAAGACCTCTTTTAGGATAAAGTGAAAAGTATTGAAGTGATTTTGCACGACATACCAAAGCAGATTCATCAGTAGTCACAATCTAAATGTTGATTTATTACAAATATTATAATGCATAGTTCAATTGTTAGAAAATTTAAACAAATTAATATTGAATTATTTGTCTTACAGAACTTTGACTTGACTCTTCAGAGATAATATCGCCAATACCAATTCCTTTATTCTGCGAAGTTGCCTTTATTTCACAAGGTATATTTGCTTCATTCCAAAACGGAAATATTTTATCATGAAGCAAATGCATTTGATGTTGCACCTTATGAATTGCTTCAGTTCCTAAACACGTATTTGATTCATTGATTATCATATGCTGCGTCGACCAACCAAAATTTTCCATCCATTTCTGATACCTTTCATCTTTTAATATTGATTCTGGTGTGAAGTGAACAACACAACAAGCAATCATTTCTTTCGATTCGGCAGTTCCCGACTGATGCTTTTTAAAAACTGGATTCTTTATTAAGATCTCTAGTAATTCTTCATTTTGACAATCTACCACTAAAAATTTTTACATTTCAGTACATAGAGTTTATAGTAATTTATTTACTCTCCCTGCCTTCAGCAGGGTTTGAGAACCAAAATAAAATTTTGATTTAGGATTAGACCGATTTTACTAGTGACAAAAATAATACTAATTTCAGATTTAACCGGAATAATTCCGAATGACAGAAACCTGACTATAGACGGGGTACATGAATAAGCTCGAATTTCTGTTACCGAATTTATATGGAATTGAATTTTCATATTTAAGAATTTTTATTTAGTTGAACTTTTATAAAGCAGATTTTCTAGTTAATATTATTACACATGTGATTCTAAGTAAATTTGTTGGTTAAGAAAGCTCTTTTTTGGATACATTAAATTACAACATGACTCTTTAATGGAAATTATTGAAATTCAGCCTTTTTTATATATATTTTATCATTCTATATTATCTACGTTATATTATTTGTTATAGTTTTAAAATATTTGAATATTTTATCTTCTCTTCTATTATAAGTAATTCTCTTTTTATAGTTTATCACTTCATATATTATTTTCGTTATATTATTCGATAAAAAATTTTTTTCTTATAATATTTTTTTATATTGCTAACATAACTTTTAATGAATATAGTCATTGTATTAAACTGTATATCAACTTCTTTTCAAATTCAAACAAAACATCTACGGACCATTAAATTGGTAACATATTATACATTTATACTTTAAATTCAATTCCAGATACAACAATAAATTTTCACTGATGAAGGCACACATCTGATGCCAAAACGTCTGAAATAAAAGAATTCTTCTTTATTCCAAGAACCTTCATGACAAAATTTTTTAAAAATATACATATTATATCAAAGGTTCAATTAACACACCAAAATGTTATTTTAAATTTAATTTGAAATTTTTTTTTCTTATCTAATTTTCACTTAGCAGAATATTCACTGAATAGAATTTTGAATTAACTGAATGTAGATTTACAATAATTTTTATTTAGTAGAACTTTTATTTAATTTAATTTTCATTTAAAAGAATTCCAATTTAAACAAATTTCTATTTAACTGATTTTTGACTGAGTAAAATTTTTAAATGCCAGAATTTTTATTTGTACGAATTGTCATTTAATAGGCATTTTTAATTATTAAAAATTCAACTAAGTAAAAGTTCTATTAAAAGAAAATTCTGTTAAATAATAATTCGATTAAATAAAAAATCTCTTTATAGAATATTCGGTTAAATGAAAGTTTTGTCAAATAAAAATTATGTTACATGTGAAAACAGTTAAGTCAAAATTCTAATTTAATATTGAGTTTTCTTATTTAAAATAAAATATATAAAAATTAAATAAATAAAATCTACACTCACTTGACGCAGCCGGATTAGAAGCCGCCAAGGGTTCAGATTTTATAACTTAATAAAAATACCGCGGGCGCCAATCGACTGAAGGTTGACAAAAATATATAATGCAAAATAATTAAATTCACATAAAATACCTTCAAATTAGGGCAAGAGAAATATAGTTACAGGGCGGGTAAAATGAGAGAACCCAAAATAATAAAATAAGCGTGTTCAATCAGTCGATTTAAGTAATGACAGAAGATCTACTTAGTTATCGATGAACTACTCACTCACATACATACAAATCACATAATAAATATATAATTTTAAGCCTATTGACGTTAACGATCGATCCTAGAGTGCCATGTGCTCGATAACCAAAAGGACCCTAAATGTCGACTTTATTCAAAATTTGAGTGTTAAGTTTCTATAAAATAATTTCCTATCACAATGTTTTGTTAAATGAAAATTAGATTAAAAAACAATTATATTAAATTAAAGCTTTGTATTATGAAAATTTTGCAAAATAATAATTCAGTTAATTAGAAATTGTATTAAATAAAAATTCGTTGAATTAGAAAATTTGTTGAATAAAAATTCGATTAAATAGAAATTTTTTTAAAAATGAATTCAGTTAAATAAAAATTCTTAAATATGAAAATTTAATTCCACATAAATTCTACCTACATGATAAAATTCGGTAACATAGAAAATCGAGCATATATATATTTATTTCGAAACAATAGAAATTCCAACAAATTCAGTGTGGGGAATATTTTATTTGTCACCATTTTTTTCTTGATAATTGGTATCTGTTCCTCCAGCAGATATGATATTATTAATATATTTTAATTTTTTAGACAATTATTTTTTCTGAAGGTTTGAATTCCTGGGTATAAACTTCCTCAATAAAATAATAATTTTTTTATATTATTAATATTAAATACCGCCGGGTAATAAATTGAAAATAGGTAATATTATGTTATGTTAATTTTTTTCCTAATATTTTGCTCTAAAGGAAGTTTTAATTAGTTTTAAAAATAATGTACATGTAATTTTACCTATAAATACAGGTCCAGGTTGATCAGGGTTCACAACATCAGAACTTTTTACTACAGTACCATCCTCTAAGACAACATCTTTTCCATTCTTTAAACTTCCTAACAATGGACCCGGTTTGATACCTTTTTCAACACACTTAAGTAAATTCAATCTCCCAATACGTGGATGAATTTTACCAATGTAACACATAGAAGATCTTACTTGTCCGGTTACGGAATTCGAATGCCTCTTAGCTTTTTTGACATTGTCTCCGTACATATTTAATTTTCTTACTATGGATTTGTTCACTTCATGAGCGTAATAATCTATATTATCCTCTATTTTTACATCATCAGTTTTTACATTTTCAGTATCGCATTCAACTTTTTTTGGCTCTAAAAGAACGTAATTCACAGTCAATACATTGTCAACAAAAGGCTTATTGATATTTGCTTCAACAACAGTTAATCTTTTGAGATATACAAATCTTCTGGTAGCGTCAACAATGTCTATTGTGCCTATAGGTCCATGAATATTTACATTTGAAACACCATATGATTGTAAGCATAAGAGAAATCCAGGAAGTCCTCCGAGATTCTTCCAACTTGGTGTTGTAATGAAAACATTGCCAATTTTTGTTAATTTGCATAATTTACTTCTATGTTCGTTATTAATTCTTTGTGTACTTTCTCCACAATTAAAAATATATCTACTTTCATTTGTAAAAAGACAAACGCTAGCTGGAGCACCACGTGCTCCACTGCCAATTACCTGTAAAAAGTACCTATAAATATATTTCATTTTTTTTTTTAAATGAAATTTATGTTATTTTTGAAAAACGAAAAAATGTAAATGTGAATATTGTGATGTATGGCTGTATCTAGACAAGAAACAAGTATTGTATTGTCAAGGAAATAAAAAATTCTATTCTATATTTCATTTAAATTAGTCACTATAGTGTAAATTTTTTATGTCATTTTTTTTATTATTTTAATATTTTAAAATTTAATAATTGAGATAATTATAGAATTATAGATTATAGAATTCCCAACGAATTATGAAAATTAGGCTTAACAAACTGAAAAATTGCTGATTTTTTTTATTTTTAGCCATGCCTGGAAACTATATACAGTTTAACGGATTCGCATGAAACTTACAAATAATATTAATTAGGTTATAATTTCGATATACATTTTAGGGAATTTCAATACACTCAAAAAATTTTAAAATTTTCAATTTTTTATGAAAAAAAATTTTTTTGATTGATTTTTAGGTAGACGTGGAGCTCATAATTCTTTACCGATTTGCATGAAGCTTACCAATAATATCAATTATGTTAAAATCTTGATAAATAATCAAAGATATCTGAATATACTCAAAAAATTTTAAATTTATTACGGTAAAAAATCGATTTTTTGATAATTTAACACACCTAGAACCTACAATTCTTGATCGGTATTAATGTGACTTTAAATCTTAGCTTTTCCGAATTAAAAAGTATTTATTTGAATAAGAGGTATAACACTTTAGAAACATTTGAAAAATCAAAAATTTTCAAATTGTTTATTTTTTAAAAGTTTGGTTTTAAACTTTTTCTCAAGGTTCATAATTCTCTCTTTGAGATAAATAGTATATTGTAGGACATATAAAAAGAAAATTTATTTCTAAATATAAGCGATTGTAGAGAATGTCTTACTGAATAAAATAAGCTCGTTTATTAAAATTAGATAAAAATTTTGATTTTTGGAACTTAAAGAAAAAACATTAAAATGTTTAAAAAAAAAAATATTTTGAATTAACATCGTTTTTCTGTGTTTGAAAATCTAAATATGTTTGAAGTCTTGTGAAGTAAATGAGTTATTAGAAATGTTTGAATATTTAATTTAATATAAGTTTAGTTGACTGTGAAAAACATTGTCGGTACATACTTGTATTATTCTTTTAACTACTTTTACTAATTTTATAAATCATGGACGGAATTTTATTCATGATAAAATATTATTTGAGTTAATTGAAAATATTATTAAGGAATTAATATTCGTAAATGATGCAGCTACATCAGTGAAACAATTATTTAATAATTAAATTAAATTAAAAAAACAAAATTCAATTAAATTAAAAGAAAATCCTTTTAAACATGAATCGAATGTTTTTATTCTAGGTAGTGGTACAAGATGTTAATTACACGTTTTAGAAGAACATTGTTAAACATCGTAGACATACATGTTAACTTGAGAACTAAAAATAACATAAATTGAAATCAATTTTTATTATAATTATAATTCAAATAAACTGTATTTTTAAATTCAAATAACGAAAATATATATTTTAACTTCCTATTTAAAAATAAAATAGAATATTGAGATTTTTTGAATTAGTATTTTTTTAAAATTAAAAATCTTTTTTGACTGTTTGTCAAATTCAACATATTTGTGTACATTTAAAATAGTCAGTCTCGTGGAGTCTTAAAAGTACATAAAACTTTAATTTTTAACGAGTTATCTTATCGTTTTTAATTTTATAAAAACCTTGATTTTTTATTTTGAGGTTCTAGAATAAGATCAGTTATTGTTGAGATCAGCTCTCTAAATTTGAATCAGCGGAATCTCGCTGATTCTCAGCTATAAGTATACCACTGATTCCAATCAGCTTATATGCACTGATGAATTAGCGGAATTTCACTGATTTTTCAGCGTATATCCGCTGATTGGTACCAGTGGTATACTTATCGCTGATTCAAATTTAGAGAGAGGACTATCACAATGCTTGGCACCACTATGCGCATGTGTAATGACTAAAGTTTTTTTAGGTAGAGGGGGTACGTGATGGGGGAAATTTAACTTATGGGAAGTTAACTTATGGGAGATTCGACTGTACTTCTTTCACTTCAACTCGCAATATATCAAACAATTTTTGGTATATTTTTTAATGAAACAAACACGAAAATACGTGTTATTATATATGGACAAATCCACGAAACTTTTAACTTTTGTGATTCTCAAATCGAATACTTAAAAATCTGAATTATTTTTAATTAAAACTTTGGGTATCATTTTTTTTTTTGCTAAATTATATATACAAAGGAACATTTATGTACAGTATTAGAACAAAATATTTATTTGACAATTAGTTTTATAAGTTAAAAAGTGAAAAAATGTTTAAATTTCATTTGAATTTCTTGAAAAAGTTTATATTAACGTTTTTATTTTGCGGCGTGTAAAATATCACTTCAGCTACTATAGAAATATCTGTGGCGGTACGAATTCAACACAAATAAACTCTACACAAGAAAATACTGCTCCGCTAATTGTACACGAGTCAATTATCAACAAAATTAAATAAAAATATATTCTTCACAATTAAATACTACATCGAAAAACCCTACACAATAAACTATTAACTAGAAAATTATCTCCAGAAACTGTACACAAATAAACTCAGCACATTAAGATTTAGAATTAGAAAAATAAAAATATTTTTTTTATAATTCTACACAAATAAATATTACATTAGTAAATTCTACACAGCTATAAAAAATAATAAATTAAATTCGACACAATTAAATTCAACACATGAAAATAATCTTTCCTTTTGTGTCGAATTTAATTTATTATTTTTTATAGCTGTGTAGAATTTACTAATGTAATATTTATTTGTGTAGAATTATATCTTAATGTGTTGAGTTTATTTGTGTAGAGTTTATGAAGATAATTTTCTAGTAAATAGTTTATTGTGTAGGGTTTTTCGATGTAGTATTTAATTGTGAAGAATATATTTTTATTTAATTTTGTTGACAATTGACTCGTGTACAGTTAGCGGTGCAGTATTTAAAAAAATACGAAGGTTTGATTGAGTGATGGCACTTTTTAAAAAAATTCAATCTAACGTCTTCTTATGAAAATATCTATTACGGCGTTGGATAAAAATAAAAGCTCAATGCATTTCTTAAAAGGTGATGAAAAAACAAAAATTTTAAGACCTTCTTCAATGATGTGCCTCTAATTGTATTCCTGTGACAACAATTTAAAGATGATAATAAAAATCGCGATTTCATTTAAATTTATACATTTTTGAAAGGCACAACTGCATTTTTGCTTTAAACAGGTCAATCTATGGTGTGATCGAAACATTTTTATATATATATATATATTTGAACTCAAAAACTTAAGGATTTTGAGTGAAATAAATTTTATTAATTTAAGAATATGCTGAAAACACTTTCTTGGAGTCTTTACCCCCTCTTTTCTCAAAATCCTGACGTGCTGAGCAAATTTGGGTGCCAGAATCGTGTTCAGAAGACGAAAATACTTTGGAAACCACTCCGATATCAAAAAAAAAAAGTTGAATTTTCCAATTTTATATGTAATTTATTAACATTAAAGAGTTTAAAGAGTTAAACATTGACAGCGTGAGCTAAAAATGAATCACGCATATGAATTTGTAGTGCAAAAATGTACTTTAACGTGTATACAAAGTGACATCAATGTGCCTGCAAATTAAAAAAAAAATTTTTTTTTCTTCAAAGTTAAAAGATTCGTGGATTTGCCCATATATACTACGAGCAAATAAATTTATTCTTTAATATTTTATATAAATGTCCGTCCAGCTAGCACCTCCGCAAGCATTAATCAAAAAATCAAATATGCTAGAATTATGTGCTAATTTTGTGCCTAATTAAAAAATTGTGTGCTCATCAAGAAATATTTTTTTTTTTACTTTTAAGGATGAGGTGCTAGCAAGACGTAAGCTAACACGTATCTCACCTATAGTAAAATAACAGCAATCAAAACAACTACAACGCCAAAATTTTGTGCTCTTTATGTGCTTTTCAATGATAACAGAAACACCAACCCTAAAAAAAACGTTACAATAAAATTTAGATTTTGATCCATTTGAGTAAAAAAAATTGTCAAGGTACATAAGATTTACTCAAATTTCATGTACTCAAATTTTGTGCTCCTAACCTCTTTCTCAAAAAACACCCCCAATTCTAATATTGAACTCTATACTCATCAAAATTAGAATTTCATTCTTTTGAGTGAAAAATAGTGTCAACCAAAGTAGCATTTACTTAAATTTCGTATTCTCAAATTTTGTGCATCTAACCTCTTACTCAAAACCACCCCTATTTCTAATATTGAACTCTAAACTCATAAAATCTTGATTTTGATTCTTCTAAGGGAATATTATTGTCATGCGACATAACATTTACTTTAATTTCATATTTTCAAATTTTTTGTTCAGAACCTCTTACTCAAAAACTACCTCTATTTCTAATATTGAACTCTAAACTCATAAAGATTTGATTTTGATTCTTTTGAGTGAACAAAATTGTCAAGGTAAATGAAATTTACTTAAATTTTGTGCTCAAAAATTGTCGTGGTTAATTTATGTTTGTTAAATTTTAATATCAGGGGACTTTTATTAAAATATTTCTTATAATATATCGTTATTAAATAAAGTAGGTTTTAAATAATTGTTTATATGTTCTAGTGTACATTATTAGGTAATAATTTTGTATTTTCGAACGTCTTTTTTGCCTGGCATTTATTATGGAAAATTAAAAATAAATTTCTTTTTTAGGGTTCCGTACTCGGTTCGGAACCCTATTAATATCGGTTTTTTTGAAATCGTGTACCCCCCCCCCCTAGCGGCCACACAAATTTATCTGGAGGGCTGAAAATTAGTACACATATGTATTTTCGCGTGTAGATTACAGGAAAAATATAGCGAACTTGATTGGAATTGATTAACATAGCGTTGTCAAGGAAAAACCATGAATTTTTACGAAAAATGCCTAAAAATGACTATGTACCCCCCCTAGCGGCCACATCTTTTGACATAAAGAGCTCAAATTTGATACACTTACGTATTTTTACGTGAAAATTACAGGAAAAATATAGCGAACTTGATTCCGATCAATTTACATAGCGTTGTCAAGGAAAAATAAAAAATTTCGAAAAAAATGATTTATTCTCCCTAGCGCACATAATATTCAACCCAAACTGTTCATATTTGCTGTAAAACAGTATTTTTGCGTGAAAAATACAGGGAAAAAATGTAAGCGCAATTGGAGTTGATGATCAATTTTTATCAAATTTTTTAAGAAAAATGATAAATTTAATTAAAAAAATGTATTTTTCCGCAAAAAACGAAAAAAATCGGACAAGTGCGAGTTACACTCGCACTGAAATCGAGGATTCCGTACTCGAAGCGAACTTATTTGGTATAAAAATAAATGTTTAAAAAATATGTGTTGTATGTTAAATTATTTATGTGATACAAAAAGGAACAATTTTTTAAAAAAATTTAAGAAAATTGTTCCTCCTTTGGTATAAAAACAAAAAAAAATTTAAATATGTGTTGTATTTCAAATAATATAAGTGATACAAAAAGGAACAATTTTGTAAAATTTAAGAAAATTGTTCCTCTTCGTATCACTTATATTATTTGAAATACAACACATATTTAAATTTTTTTTTGTTTTTATACCAAAGGAGGAACAATTTTCTTAAATTTTTTTAAAAAATTGTTCCTTTTTGTATCACATATATTATTTAACATACAACACATATTTTTTAAGCATTTATTTTTATACCAAATAAGTTCGCTTCGAGTACGGAACCCTCGATTTCAGTGCGAGTGTAACTCGCACTTGTCCGATTTTTTTTTTATTATAAGCATTAGGGTAAAAGGTACAGTGACCGACACCCAGACAGTGAACGACACCTGGCTATTAAAAACGATAATAACTATAAAAATAATAATATTGAATTAAATATCACTAGTAAATTAATTAATATACAATATTTAAAAACTTATACAGTTTATACAAAATTTTATATGTTTATATTTTCCTCAATATTTAATACTTTCTAGAAAACTAACCTCAAAAAATTTGCTTTATTGATTACAAATTTTATAAATATGAAAAAATTGTTGAATAATTATATTTTAAAAGCAACTTTTTTTGTACATTAAGTCTGAATAATAAAATTTATGATAATACTAATAAATATCATGTTACTTAAATAGAAGTTTAAATATTTTTTATTTTATTAAAGGGTGTCGTTCACTGTTTTCATACCATACATTTTTAAATTAATATTATAAACTCTTATCAAGGTGTTTTTTAATTTTAAACTTGTGTACTATAAATTTTAACCCAAATCTTTTATTTAAAATTTATTTTATAACTAAATCTTTAATAAATTACGATAAAATGTCATTTAAAGTTGAAAGTATGCCCAGGGTGTCGGTCACTGTACCCCTTACCCTATTTTATATATGTTTTTAACATTATAAAATGGTTTTTGAGTAAGAGGTTAGGAGCACAAAATTTGAGAATACGAAATTTAAGTAAATGTTATGTTGGTTTACACTATTATTTACACAAAAGAATGAAATTCTATTTTTTATAAGTTTAGAGTTTAATATTAGAAATGGGGGTTGTTTTTGAGTAAGTGGTTAGGAGCACAAAATTTGTGTAAATGTTATGTTGGTTGACAATATTATTTACTCAAAAGAATGAAAATCAAATTAGCACATAATTCTAGCATATTTGATTTTTTGATTAATGCTTGTGGAGGTGCTAGCTGGACGGACGTTTTATATAATTTATAAAAACTAATTTCAGATTCAATTGTCAAATTGTAATAAAAAACAAAATAAGACAATTGTAAAGAGAATGAAGTAACACAATTATTGCAAAAAGAAAAATTAAAATTTTGTCTAACAATGCGAAAAGTTGGCAATTTATATAAACAAGTGACAATGTACTATTTATTTATGACAAAAATGATTCCCGGTCATTTTATATGTAAATAATGTATGTAAATGTCTGTAAAAATAAGACTTACTTTTAACGTTATATCAGTTGCCAAAGTTTTTATTTCAGCAGATTGTTTAGGTTCTGCAGGGAGCAGACTACCTTCCGTTCCTGACATTAATTTGTATCCTTCTAAACTCTTAAAAGTCTTAAAGGTTCGATAAATAAAACTTTTTTTTGCAAATGTTCGAGGCACAATCGGTATCAAAATCATTCGTTCGACAATATTTATACTGCTTTAAAAATTTTAATTTAAGATTTTATAGTCAACACTAAAAAAACAAGGATTTTTTGCAATTCTAACAGTAGTAAAATCACATGATTTTGTGATGATTTTTGTTTTAACAAAATTGCGTTATATTATTTCACACAATGTGGTAATAATAATAGTTTCTGGGGTTAGGGATGGGTTAGGGCCAATGCACAATAACGAAAATATAAATACCCGGCCAGATATGCCTACATACACAGACCACGTTTTTAGTAGCAATCTGTCGTCTGCTTTGTTGTCCCTCTTAAGGCCAACGCACAATTGCTTCGCGAACAAGATGCATGAGATAGAAAAGGATACGAATATATTTCTGTCCTTTTCTATATCATGCATCTCGTTTGCGAACGACTTTTGTGAACTATTGTACGTTGGCCTCAACTATTGGATGTCACAAATAACATAGCTTTATGCGCAGAAAACTAATTAAGGTCTACGCGCAAACTACTTGCCACTTTCATTGAACTCAAATTTTTCCTCACCGCTCTATAGGAATAGTTTATAACCTATAAATTCATTTGTATAATATATCAAACGAATGAACTGTAACAAAAAAAAATATTGACCTCATGGGTTTTATACGACTATTATTTCACAATAACAAAAATGTCATACGTCATATAATTCGTAAAAAAACGAATCATGCTTTTAGGGAAGAAACTAAAATTAATAATTTGGAGATTAGAAGTGGTAAAAGTGAAGTTTTTGTAAATAAAGAGACCATAGCAGCTTTGGAAAGAGTTTCTCTCGTGGATTTTAATAACGAAGGAGGTATTGAAAGTTTAGAGTCGGCAATTGATTTTGTCAAAAGTTTAAAAGAATTGAAAATTGATTCATCCGTTGAGCCAATGTACAGTGTTCTTGAAAATGAAAGTCTATATTTAAGAGAAGACATTAATTCAAATACTATTCCACGTGAGAAAGTCTTAGCACATGCACAGCTTTTGGATGAAGAATACTTTGTAGCACCACCGGGTAATGTACCACGAAAAACATGAAACTGGAGATAGTGTTACAAAAATTGAGTGCATGTTTTTTGAAAATTGAAGCGGGATTTGACTATGGTCCTCAAGGAAGATTATTGCTGAGGAACGTTGAAAATCTTTGGTTTCATCATTGTGTTACAACTTCACGATATAATGTATTTTTAAGTGGAACTGATAAATTTTCAAAAACCATTCAGGATTTAAAAGTTGCGAATATTGATACTTTACCATTTGGATTGGCTGCTTTCGATAATTCTAAAATAGCATGGAATCAATCGCTGCTGAATTCGGGAAACAAAACAATTGTACACAAGGTAGCTAAAGTTGTCACTTTCTGCGAAGAATCAAATTCTAGAGATTTATTTCATAAAAAACAAAGAGAACGTAAAGCATGGTGGAGAAAACTCGTGCAACAACCATCGATATTTTTTTTAACTGAATCGAAAAAAGGAAAAAATAATGAAGTCATTGACATAAAAGCTGAATTTCCTTTTGGAAATATAACAGTAGAAACTATAAGTCATCAACGAGATGTTCGAAAAATGTTTCTTCAGGTAAATTTTTCAAAAAAAATTTTAACACCAATGTATTTTTTCCTTTTCCTTTATTGTTTAAAGGGGGCGCATGATTATCACATAAAAGTCATTTTTTTAGAATTTTATTAGATGTAATTAGCAAAATTAAACGCGCGCAATCGCGCCAAATTCAGTATTTCATTGTTTGTTATAAAGAAATTAAAGATTAATATTATCAATAATAATTTAATTTATTAGAATATTATTACATATTAAATGATAATAAAGAAAATTATATGTTTACAGGCCTCGGATTATACGACTTTTTCCGACGTTTTTCAAAAATACGACTTTTATCGACTTCTTTTAATAAAATGTAAATAATAGTTATTTATGATACAAGTGCGTATAATCAGATTTACGCACGTGTATCATGCAACATTTTTTGCAACACCCACCTCTAAAGTTAAGTACCTATTATGAAGAATTCCAACTCTCTATAAGAATAATTTCGATTGTAAAGAATTAAAAAAATCAATCGAAGATCAGGAAAAAAATCATTAAGCAGGAGTGTATAAATTTAATAGTAAAGTTCGTTTTTTAATTTTGTGGTTTTGTATGGTCTAAAACAATCCTTATATTATGTGAGAGAAATTTCGCTGCGTAAAGTAAATTTCAGTGCATAAAGTGAATCACTTTACACACCGTTTGAAAAAGAGCTTCTTTACACACAATTTTCGGTGTGTAAAATTTAACTTTAGAGGTTAGTGGTGCAAAAAATAAATTTTTTTAGTATAAAATTTAGATCTTCTTCAGATCTTCTTCAATTCAATTATTTAACAAATTTTCAACTAAAATGATTCTTCACTAAAATAATTATTTTTAATAATTTTAATGAAATACATCACAAATTCAATTATATCAAAATTATTTTTCAATTAAAATTTTTATGAAGTTTAACAATTGTTTATAATTTAAAAAAAATATATCACAATAAAATTGAATTATTTTTTAAAAATTTCAATTCAAAATAAACTAAAATTCAATTATTACCCGAAATTTTAATTCAAAATCAATTAAAAATCCAATAATTATCAAAAAATTTCAATTTAAAATTTAATTATTTTCAAGTTTTCAATTTAAAATGAAATAAAATTCAATTATTTTCTAAAATTTCTATTCAAAATTAATTATCCAAAATTTCAATCAAAAATGAACTTAAATATTAAATTATTATCCAAAATTTCAATTAAAATTCAATTATTTCCCAAACTTTTCAATTCAAAATGAACTGAAATTCAATTATTTTCCAAATTTATAATCAAATAAAATTTCATTATTCTCAAAAATTTGAATTCAAAATTAATTGAATTTTCAATAATTTGAATTTAAAAGCATCTAAAATTTAATTATTTCTAAAATTTTCCATCCAAAATTTTTTTTTTGAAATTTAATAATTTCAATTATAACTTTAAGGAAATTCAATTATTTTTAACTATTTTAATAATATTCTTTGAAAATTCAACTATCTGAAACCATTTTTCAATTAAAAATTATTTTCAAATTATTGTATTTTGTCCGCATTTTCTAATAAATTTTTAGTGAAATCATCTAAAATTTTAATTACAAAACACTTAAAGTTTCAATTAATTTCAAAAATCTCAATTTTAAATCTTTGAAAATTCAATTAAATTTAAAAAATGTTTTCCAAAAATTGTTTGATAAATTATTTTTAGTTCTGTAAAATTTAATAATTGTTTGAAAATTAACAATATCTTTTGAAATTTAATTATTTCTAAAAATTTCAATTTTAACCCTTCGAAAAGGATTATTATTAAAAAAAAAATTTTATTTAAAAATTTGTAAAATATTTTAAAATAAAAAACAAATCCACTTTTTTTTGGAATATAAATCGACTAAAACGACTTTTTTGTGTGTTTAAGTTGATTCGAGGCCTGTATTTTTATAATTAATATTTAATAGGTATTCGTTGGCCCCTGGTACCTTAAAAATAAATTTTTTTCAAATTACTATCTTGTACGAAATTTCCTGGCGCATCTTTTTTCTCATCATACATTTTTTGTATTTGTATATAATTTTTGAATCAATATACAACTTTAAAAAAAATTTCGTTGGTAAACGTTGTGTACTTCAGCTTCGTGAATTGAATTTTCGAATTTGGAATATTAAAGAAACTTATTCCGAAATTTGGAAACACAATTATACAACTTTGGCAAAAATGAGAAAAAGAATTGTCAAAATTTGACACGTCATAAGATTACTATTCAAAAAAACACGTGAAATCAGAAAAGGCCAACTTCAAGTTAGGACAGAAGGACAAACCAAGCATTTTATTATTATATAATTATTTTTTAGACGAATTTTTATTTTTCGAATTAGCATTTAAATTTAAATTAATTTAAATAGATCATATTAACTCTATAAAGTCTATAAAAAAACTACTCATTACATTCAAAAAGAAAAAAAGGGTTTAGGGTCAGTTGGGGTAAATGGGGACAAGAGGTTTTGGAGCCTAATTTACAGTTTTAAAATTAAGTTCAACGTTAATATTTTAACTTCAGATCACCTACAAAAGGTTTTGAGTATTGCCAAGCTTTTATCTTGACAATTGGCAGCAAGATAAAAAAAGTTATCGCTCAATGCATCAAAACTTGAAAATCAAAGTCAAACTGTTTCAGCATTTTGTCTCGCATTTCAAAGAAAACAGACTTAGAAAGCATACCAAATTTTTTTCTTATTCCTTATGACTCCTATAACTGAAATTCACTTGAATTTTTGATTTTTGTCAATTTAGTTAATAATGACAAAAATCAAAAATTCAAGTGAATTTCTGTTATAGGAGTCATAAAGAATAAGAAAAAAATTTGGTATGATTTTTAAGTCTGTTTTTTTTCAAATGCAAGACAAAATACTGAAATAAAAAAAAAATAAAAAATTTCAATTGATTCAACTATTATATATCTACTACAAATTTTTTTCAAGTTTTTTCATCCCTTAATACAGTAATATACTTAAGGAAACTTTTTTCTTAAAACTTTCTTAGAAACTATGCTGTCCCCATTTATCCAAAATTTTATGAAATTTTCTAAATTTTTGGGGTAAATGGGGACAGTCAGTTTCATGCGTTTAAAGATTATCTACATTTTTTTTCTGCTGCATAAAATTAATCCTGGGAATGTAAATAACAACTTGAAAAAAATTAACCTGCAAATATTACTTTTTAAAGGAAAGAAATTCACGTAATTTGTGAAAAATAGCGATTTTGTCCACATTTACCCCAACTGAACCTAATTAACGTTATTTAATTCTGCACTGTTAAATATATCACACATAACTACACAATTTATTTGTATTCAGGAAAAAAATTATAGTCATTTCGTTAATTTAATTTTTAACTTTACGCACTTAAATCGAATACCAGGAAATTCTACACAATTTATTTGTGTACTCAATGCATTAAAATAAAGTAAAATATTTAATTAAATAATATAATAAATCGGAAAATATATAGAAACTGATGTATCTCGACAAGAAATAAGTATTGTATTGTTAAGGAAATAAAAAATTTTAATTACTTATATATTTAATAAATTAAGAAAATTAAATTAAAATTTCTTTTAAATTTAAAAATGAATTTGTCAAATTTAAAAATAATTTTTTTTAATAAAAAATATACATTTCAAAAATTACTTATTTTTAATTTAATAATTAATTTTTTTAAAACAAACTTTCCATATTTTTGGAAAGGTCTAGTCTGTGATAGTATGAAGGATCAGGCGAGTCTGACTTGCAGGTTCTTCAGTCACTGCTCTTATATAACCTGTTGACACATTGAGGAAAGGGTATGAGATCAGTGACTTAAGAACCTGCCAGACAGACTCGCCTGAGTCTTCATACTATCACAGACTAGACCTTCCCAAAAATATGGAAAGTTTGTTTTAAAAAAATTAATGATTAAATTTGACAAATTTTTTTTAAAGTTTAAAAAATAATAATTTAATTCCATGTTCTTAATTTATTAAATATTATTATTTTTATCTTTCTTTGAAATAAATAATGATAAATTAAAAATCCGACATCAGAAATGATATCGAATCCAACGTCGGTTCCGATACCAAAATCATTTCTTATATCAGAAACAAAACGGAAAATATTTATAATTTGGTACGGTAAAAAAATTTCAGTTTTTTTTTATATATTCTTTTCATTTGAATAAATACTTTGGTAGGTTTATTTAAAAATCTGACGACTGGTTTTCATATAATCAATTATAAAAAAAATTCGTTGCATGCCTTGAGGGCTTCATCCATGTAAAAGATATGAATTTCGAAATAATATTGATCTCATTTTTTAGATAAACACTTCAGGAACACTCATGCAAAGTTTTAAAAAAATCTGACGAAAATCACTTTACGCGACTAATACCTTAATTACCGTTATAATTTTCGATATTAGTTTCTATATTTCCCTATATCAGTTACTATATAGATTCTGTTCTCGGAATTTTCGATAGAGTTTAAATTTCTTAAAAGCAGCTGAAATACATGATATAGTAAAGGACAGAAATATATTTCTATCATTTTCTATATCATGCATTACGTTCGCGAATCTATTGTGCTTAGGCCATTGTATAAAATTTATTATAATTTTTTTATGATTTTAGTCAATATTTTTGCCGCCCCTAAAAATATGGCTCTGTAAAGAATATATTGGCCTAAAAAATTCTCTTTATTACAATATTAAAAAAATCACCCACATAAACTTCATCTTAAAATAAAAGTATATTGGTTAGAATAAAATAAAAAGTCATTTTAGAAAAGTAATGATTAATGAGGATTAGATGTTCATGATTGGAGAATAGATTATTTAAAAAAATGAAGAATAATTTGTATTATGTGTTGAGTTGACTAAAGTAGAACATTTAAGGATAGTTTTGGATATAATTTTAGATATTTAAATGGATCTTCAAAAACAGGTAAATGTTTTATTTCTATAGGAATAAAAAAATTGAAATGGGAAAACTTAAGATAAATTTGAATAAAGAAAAATTAATAAAAAAGAGATTAGATAGGTAATTCCTGAATTAAATCCTTTGAAAAAAAATATTGAAATGGATAAGATTTTCCAGCAGGGAATGCACTTTGATTTTAGATTATTAGGAACGGCTCTATCGGAGGCACCGCAAAAAATTACAAATTTTACATTTTGACTTTGGCCCCCCTCGGGAAACAATAAATAATAATTTAAAAACTATACGAAAATTGCTCTGTTTAGTTAAAATATAATATTTTAAAGTGTAAAAGGTCTTTTTTAATTTAGAATAAAAATAAGTGAGAAAAAAATAGAAAAGATATGCCTATTTTTCGCGTTCGCAAACGGACGTCTGCCTTAATAAATATAATCTAATGTTAATTTAAATTGTTTAAAATAGAATATAATTCCCATTAATAAATTTAAACTGATTAATTATTAAAAATTAAATAAGGTTAGATATTTATTATAATTTCAGGATAAAAATTGCAGTGATAGTGAAAACGATTTGAGTGCAGTCGAACACGTCACGTCACTAGATTGGGGCTGTTTGGTTCTCCTTTGTGATTCATACAAGGAAAAGGCTCCCTTTCCTACATTACAGCTGCTACCAAAAATCGCTCCTTACAAAGCAATTTGTAAAGTTAATGTAGAAGCTAATGAGAGAGAGTCAATTATTGAAGATTTGAATCAACTTGTGTTATATATCAATAATTTATTGAGAACAAGTGGATTGGGAACTATTTTAATAAAAGATAATTTATCAGAAATGCTTCAGGTGCCTTTTGTTATTGGTGTAAATAAAGTTAGTTTGAGAAGTGGAATTGTTACAGTTTCTAGTCATGTGACAACTTTAGCGGAGTCAGTTCATGTATCACAGTTAGTTGATTATATTGCTTCATATTGTAAATAGGTAAAATAAAAAAATTTACATAAGAAGTATTAAGTTTATATTAATAAAAAAAATTATTCATTTCACCTTTACAATTTTCAAGTTTGATGTGAGTGTATTTTCTTTAAATCATAGTTGTTAAAACAAATTAAATTTAATTAGTTCAAGTAAAATCTGGTAATAGAATTTCGGTTTTTAGAATGTAATGTGGACTGTAATAAAACTGAAACAGTATTTAAATTTAACAAATTAAGTTTATTTGAAAAGAATAACAATTTCGAGACACGTTTTCACTCAAAGCTCTACACTTACAGACAGACTGTAATAAGGTTTCTCAAGGCCGAGAATTTGTGAAAGAAAGAAAACATAAATTTAAGTGAGAAAAGAAATTCTTATCAATTGCAAAGAAACAGAAAATATGAAGAGAATTAAATTTAGAATTCACAGAAATTATCATCTGCTTTAAACAAATCTTGAACAATAGTCATAGTTTTTTTTCGGATTTTCGGAAAAAAAATTTAATACGGCAACAACGTATAATTAAATAAATTTTATTTTGTTTTATTAGCAAATTTTTATACATACACATATATTTTTATTTGTATAAACATTTCATCTTTTTTATTAAACTGTTTCAACTTGTCCTCTTCTTCTCACTTTATGTTCATCATTTTGTGAAGAAGTAAAAGATGTTTCTTCAGATTCTTTCTGCGATACCGAAGTACCTTCTGAATTACAAACTGAGCCTAGTATAAAACTGTCTTTTCGTTCTATGCATAATGAACAATTCGGTGTTACGGATGCTTTTCTAATGCTCATGTCTTCTAAAGGAATTTCTTCACTTCTGGGTCTTACAATTTTGGGAGAATGTTCTCTCAAATTTAAACCATTATCTGCAATCTTATCGTTAGAATTTCCAGGAGATATTTTTGTACTTGAAGAAGAAAGTCCTGTAGCGTGACTAAGTGCATCACGATGCATTTGAGTGGCAAATCCTGGAACTTTATTAATTGTGAACAATGGTCGTGATTGATCTTTGTGCCTTTGTCCTCGACCTGGAACACCTACAGAAAGTTAGTTTTCTTAAGTCTTAGCAAATAAATATTTGAATCAAGGTATTAATTTTTATTCGTTAGTGCGATTAATCTGCTTGAACTTATTTTGTGGCTTTATATTTATCTTTCATTTACAGGCTTCGCACTCTTCGACTAAAAGCTACTATTTGCTACTTTTTTTATGGTTGGCTACTTTTTGGCTACTTTTTCACTATTTAGACAACTTTTTGTTACTTTTTTGCTGACTAATGAGTTCAAAACCTGTATATGGTTTTAAGTAATTTTAAATAGCACACAAAAAGTGGATCTATAAAGTGCTGAATATCTTGCAGTTACTTTAACCCATTTAAATTTATGAAAAACTGTGAAAAATTGGTATTAAATCAGTTCTTTAAATTTCAAATATGCCTAAATAAATATTAATAAAAAACTTAAAGATTTTAAAATTTTCTAGAAATTAGAAGAAAATAAAAAAACTAGATAAAAATAAATATCTAAATAAAAATAAAAATAAACTATATAAATAAAAAAACTAGAAATTAAGAAAATTATCCCCACCACTGAAATATATATAGATAACCGGATATTTTTCACAGTTTTACATAAATGTTAATGCGCTAGGTTAAAGTAACCGCAAGATATTTAGCACCTTATAGATCTAATTTTTGTGTCTTTTTTGTGTGCTGTTTAAACTTACTTACTTTCACAGACCAACTTTGAAAACATATTTTATCTATTATTTTCATTTATTCACTTAATTAACAAACCCCCACAAAAAAAATTTTGTCCGGCAAAATAGACTAGTCAGTCTTACGTATTTTGGGTCACTGAATCCGAATCCGGGGTCAGAATTTAAAAGTTGGTTCTTATTTTTAAGATAAACTCAAAAAACTGCTTAAAAAAGAAAAAAAATCAAAAAGTGAAAAAATTTTTGTATGACACTGCGATAGTGTAATTCAATGTATTTTTAGTCACTGATTCCGAATCCAAAGTTAGAATTGTTAGATTTGCTGAAATGTTTTGAGATAATTGCAAAAAACTCAATAAACAAAAATTCAAAAAAATTCAAAATCAGTTTTTTGGCATTATCTCCAAAATTTAAGCTTATCTCTCAATTCTGACTTCGAATTCGAATTCAGTGGAAAAAAGTACAATGTACATGGAAATACAATATCGTAGTGTTTCGGCAACAAATTATCTTTGTCGACAGGAAAAACAAAGTGTTATTTTAACACCAGAATTGGTGTTAAAATAACACGCAACAAAAATAACACCAGCTTTTTTCTGTGTCCCTAATTCAGGATTTTTATCAGATTTTTGCGATTATCTCTAAGAACTAAGACGTAACAATGACTACTCTATTTCGCCGGACAAAATTAATTTTTTTTCTGAGGCTGTGTAGTCAATAAAAGATAATAAATTAATTAATTCTGAACAAGAGACAGTAAAATACATTGTACATTTTAAAAGAGTTGTCAATATTTTTAATAATCTTTCTAATTGCTGAAAATGTGAGTTTTCCATATCTTCTCCATTTTAAACTCATATTTCAAGATAAATAATAAAATTTTTGACTTAATTGTTTTTATTTCGTTGTCTAAATATCATCCAGAATCATTTCGGAAAGTATCTATTTTTTTAAAAAATTAGGCCTTAACGACTTTTGATATAAAATATAATGGATTGAGTCAAAAATTTGTAATTACCTCTTTTGCTATTTAAATGTTCGAAAATTCTTTACTTTTATGGTATAATTTTAATTTTTTATACCCTAAAAACAAAGTATTATGCAAATTATTATGTAAATTAGGTGTTGAAATTTAATTTTTTTAAATTAAATACAATTTAATATATAAACTACACATATTATTAATTTTTTCCGTAGGCTACTTTTTTTACTTTTCAGGCTACTTTTTGCTACTATTTTTTTACTGACTAATGAGTGCGAAGCCTGCATTTATGATTTATACTTTTTCTTGGTTACTGTATTTTTCATTGTTGGTTTCATGATTTTCTTGCAACAAAAGAAGAAATTCTTTTTCTAATTATTTTGAAAAAGTCATTTTGGTATGTTAAGGGATTAAAAAATTAGTAAATAATATATTTTCAGTATTGCAGATGTATACTCACGTTCTGATCTCAAGCCAATCAAACTATAATTTGAAGGTGTAAAGCAATTCGGTGTACTCGCAGGAATGTTTAGAAGTCTTGCAATTTGACCCATCTTTTTTTGCCTGGCTTTTATTCTTCCCTTCGTTAACCTATTGTTAGAATTTAATCAAACATATTACTGTTTTATTTAACTGAAAATATATTCATTTTACAATTTACCTTTGCTTCGCTGCCATACAACGTATATGATCATCAAAAATAAATTTTGCACATAATACTGGCAATTTGTTAGAAGAACTGTTGCTTAGTGGTTTATGAATAGTTAAATGAAGACACCTAGAATCATCTTTATCGCCAACAACTTCAATATCTTGCAAAAAACCAACAAATTTTGCAACGCCCCAACCTAACTTTTTAGTATCAGGTTCAACTAATATTAATTGAAGAACATCTATTACAAGAAATCGACGTATTTTTTGTCCATCTTTCCATACGACTGTACAAGCAATAAGATCACTGTTATCTGCAAAAAAAAAATACGAATAAAAGTTACTAATACTCTCAAAAATATTTTTAAATTTGAAACAAAACATTAATAACTTTAATGGGAATAGTACAATATCCGGATTTGAAAAAGTTTTCATTGGAAATTTACAAAAGCTTTGCGTATAAAATAAATATATTAAATTCATACGAATTTCTTAGCGAAAATATACTTTACTTAGATCAAGTACGTTGTTGACCTGTACACAAGAAATAGGATTTGTTAATGGTAACTGTGTTTCCATTTCCGTATTGATAGTTAGGGCAAGCTCTCGTATCAAGAAAAACACTCTTATAGAACGTCGAGCTCTTTCCACCTGTAAATTTTAGAAAATTAAATTCCTTAAATTGATAATAGTATATCATAAATAATGGAACAACTTGAGTGGTTGATTCGTGAAAACATTTTTTTTAAATCTAATCCTTCCAGTAAAAACGTTAAAAGATTTACCACAAGCTAAAGGTCGTCCAAAAGTAAGTTTTAGTTAAGTACTCGCACTAAATACAGAAAAGTTGAAGAATTACGTTCTTCTATTAATGATAAATAATTAGATATTGTTTGCTGCTCTAGTAACTTTAATATCAAGAGGAAATGAAAACGCCAGTAGAATTATCAAAAAAAAAATTCGAATGAATCCGTTTTTAACCAAAAAATTTAGGAAAAACAAAAGGAGTCAAAAGTGAAGCTGACTGCAAAAGAAGCTCTCTATTATTACTGATGCGAAATCATAAAAAAAACAATACCTAATCATGAGAAGAAAAGTAAAAATGTCAATATATATCCATCGTATGACGATGTTTTGAAAGCGAAAAAAGAATGTTTTCAGATTCTGAAACAGTTAAAATAACTGACACAGGAGGTACAATTACAAAGTTTGCTGGATAAAACTGCTCAGCTATTATTGCAAAGTAAGAATTCGATTTTACAAATTATTTCAGAAAAAAATTAGAAAAGTTAAATCTAATTTTCAAGTGGGGGTAGTTCTATTCAAAGTAGATATAAGAAATTTGAAACGGAATCTGATAATTCAAGAAGATTCAAGAATTATTTAAGAAGGAAATGGGTTGATATTCCAAAATCTGGAGGAAATGGGACGACAAATGATGGCAATACTGCTCGTAGATTTTTTTCAAACCCAGAAAAGTCATCAGCTATCACTGGAATTGATTGCAATTTTATCCATCGATTTTCGATCGTATTAAATACTATTTCCAGTAGCCATGACGTTGATGATCAAGCTTTTGATGAGTATTCCTTGGATACTACAAAATTTTTTGTTAAATTGTATCCTTGGCTTTATATGCCTCCTGTGGTCTACAAAATATTAATTCATTAATTACTAAAACCGCTATATTGCCTATAGGAGAGCTTTCCGAGGAAGCTCAGGAAGCATGCAATAAAATTTTTAAGGCCAACAGAGAGCATCATTCAAGAAAATCATTTTTAAAAAAACACAAATGAAGACGTTTTTCAGTCAATGATAATTTCATCCGAACCATTGATCACAGAAATGAGAGATTTTCCAAAAGGCAAGAATAGTTATTTAAATCCTGATGTTTTGAGTCTTTTGAAGCCATCAGAAGTATCTAATATTGAAAATAATTCAATCGAAATAGTTTCTATAAAAATTTACGAAGGTTTTCTATTTCTTACTATAATTTTTAACTTAAATATTATTTTTTCTTTGAATTATTTATTATTTAAATATTTAATGTTCATATATCACATTATTTACTATTAAGATATATGTTTGTTTGTAAATAAAGATTATTGGTGAATGATTTTTTATTTCCGACAACTGTGCAATGCTTTCGCCATGGATTTGGATTAGTGTATATCTGTGGATACAGCCAATGTTAAAATCCATGACGCAGCACAGTGGGCCAGAAGGCGTTCAAAACTGGCCAAAAGTCAAGGTTTAAATTGATAGATGACAATTTTTTGTCAAATAATACATTATTGTATTAGCACTACTCGATTACATCTTCAATTTTCAAAAATTTTGTTTTACCTTTTATACATCAAAATATGTCTGTTTTAATCATTTTTACTTGGATTTTTAGGTTCTAAACATAAATTTTCTACTAATCAACATCAATAAAGCTAAAATTAACAGTTAAATCAAACAGTTACATATTCAGTTGTTTTGATTAGACCTTATTTTCTTTTCTTTGTTGCTGTCGTAAATGACATGTTTCATTTCCGAATGACTTTTCCCCTAGTTTCCGCTTCCTATAAAGTCGGTCAAGGTCTCTAAGCACTCTTTGAAACGTATAGTTTGAGATAGATGTACTACTTTTTGCTACTTTTGCCGTAAAAGTTAAAAAAATTCCAAAATATTCCATGCTACTAGTGGACATTGCATAGTGCGATCATGAGATTATACTGTCTTTTCAAACCTTTAGGGGTGAAGTGTGGTATTGTTTTTTGAGATAAATTAATATGATATTTTAAAATATATTGGCTTAAAGGTTATTAAGTAACTATTATTTGATACCCCAAATCTTGTAATTATTCATGTAAACAATCTGAATAATTATTAATGTAAATGATGTAAATAGTGCATATTGTAAATAATTTCTACTGTAAATAATGTAAATATACGTTGTTGCGGTATACTACTAACAAAATCGTTTACGTAGTACTGACGAGCTTCAACTAAAGCGAAACCGAAACTCAGCATACATTACCTATTACAATTTTTTAAATGACTTTCGATTTATAAACATCAACTTCGAAAACCCCGAGTAACAAATTTCAGGCCATTTGAATCGATTTTTAAAGACGTAGTCCGCCATATTTGATCCGCCATTTTGAATTTTGAAAATCTGACTTCAGATTCATAATCAGCGACCCCAAAAACCCCCGAGTAACGAGTTTCAGGCACTTTTAAAGACATTTGGACTTTTGGCCAGTTTTGAACGCCTTCTGGCCCACTGTGCACAGGAACAAAAGTGGAAAGTGCGTTGAAATTTAGTGTTCGATTACTGACGCTGTGATACTTTAAATGTTTTTTAAATGAAAATAAAATATGCACAAACCTCGCCGCACGGCAATCTTTTACTAAATTCGATTCCCGTCATTGGCGTACCAGTTGGTGGCAGTAATATGTTACTATCCATCATCAACCATTCTACTTTTAAAGGGCGTTTTTGAACTTCACTGTACTCATCTTCAAACATATCAAGAAATATATCTTCACTCTAAAACAAAAATATTACTTGTCAGAAAATAAATATATTTAAATGATATTTTCTAAAATTTGGCAATCAATATTAAGGGGAGGGACCAGTGGAATTTCAATTTATCGAAATTGATGTTGTTTAGGGTTGTCATTTTTTTTACAATTTTGAGTTTTAAAATTACAAAGGACCACAAAATTTTTTTTAAGGAAGTATTGACCGGACTATGTTTTCCGCCATCACGTCAATTTCTTTACTTTGCCAAAAGTGACTGTGAACACGATATAAATAAAAATAAGCAGGAGATTCTTTTAAAAAATAATTTTAATACACTGAAAAAATATTACTCAGGGGTTTTTGGGGTCGTTGAATACGAATTTCACCTAAGTTTTAAAAAAACTAAATATATCGGATCCAATATGGCTGACGATTTTTTGAAAAATTGATCGAATTCGACTTAATTTGAATTTGACAGTATATTGCTTTTTATTATAATCTTTTATTCTTAGGAATGAAATTTTCTATAGTTAAAGAAAAAGGATTTGGTTATTCACACAAATTTGAACATTTTTGAAATCAAATTTGTATTTATTGACCCCAAACTATTTACTATACTGTAAACTATAACCGTCGAGTAACAAGTTTCAAGTAAATATGATAAATTTTCAGAAAATTTGTCAACCATATTGGATCCGCCATTTTGAAATTTTCAAAACTAAAGTAAAATTCGTAATCAGCGACCCCAAAAACCCCTGACTGTCCTATGCTTTATTATAGCACACTTATTATTTTGTTAATTATCAAACGTTACCTTGTAAAAGTTCCTTAGTTGCACTGCACTTTGTTCTTTTGCTGTTTCAATTGCAGCTAAATGTGAATCATTTATTAGACTTCTGCCTTCAGAAATAACCATTTGTATTAAAATTTTGATAGCTAACTCTAAAGTGATTAATCGCACCTTGACATCTATTGATATTGAAAAAAGATTTTATTAAACAGTAAAACAAACTTAATAAAATATTAAACATAAAACGAATTCAATAACTTACTTGTTTGACAACTTAATGTTATGATCTGTATTAATCTGTCAATTAGGATTTCATTATACCAATTCTTCGAAGATTCTTTAGTAGGTGATAATAATATACTCAATATTTCAGATTGGATACCCTAAAAATGATAGTCTTAAAATTAATACTGATAATAGAAACATTTTATATAAAAAATATTATTTAATTAACTAAATTATTAATTTAACACCATATAAAATTCACACCAGTCGATTTTCATAACTCTTCAAAATAATAAATGGTATTAATTCTTATGGACACAAACCTGATTATTTGCCAAGGCAAACAGAAGACAAAGTGCAAAAAGTGCAGCATAATCATTTTCAGTACAACATAATGAATTTAAAATAGTTTCTAAAAATGGTTTATTTGCCAAATTAGTTTGAAACTGATTTTGTAAAGTTTGATTAGGAATCAGTGGCGTTTCTAGTGCTAGCCTTTGTTCTTTTTCTTCATCAGTGACATTTAAATGTTTTATTTCCTCAATAGTCTCCTGTGTAATTATTGCTTCCAATTCATTTAATGAGCTAAAAGTATCTCCCTTATTTATAGAATCATAATAAGAAGTACTTGGCATATTTGATTCTAATGTCTTATCAGCATCATAATCATTTTTAGTGCCACTTTTACTATTATTTTCATCTATTTTATTAGGATCGTTTAAACATTCGGCGAGATTTTCCAATGATTTTTCCAAACTTTCTTTAGGTGGTGTAAAAGCAATACATTTACTTAAAACTAAATCAATATAATCTTCTAATATTTTATTAGATCCATTTTGAACAGCATCTAAGCTTGACATTAAAATAATAACAGATAATGTTTTAACTAGTGGTCCATGTGAAACAATTAAAAACACTTGGGACAGAAGAAATAGAGACACCACTATGCTGACATGTTTTTTTTCCATCTGGTGAATAAAGACATTGTAATTTGTTTAAAAATTTTATAGAAAATAACATGAAAGAGGGGTTTAGCGAAATATTAAAATAGCGATAATTAGAGTCAAATTATGTCAAAAATATTACGTTTAACAAATGGTCTTCAGGTTTTCGAAGAGAAAATGATTAAAATTTCGAAGAAGATCCTTTGATGCTTTAATGTCTCATATTATCACAATAATTCTTTAAAATAAACCTAAATATCGGTTGCAAAACTTGATATTTCTGACGTATTCTTTTATTACTCTTATAATATTTTAAAAATTACTTACTTTACTATTATAAACATTTTTGTGTTTTACTAGGGAGTATATGTATAGAGGAATCAAGAGTTTACGAAGTAAATGTTCCGTTAAGACTTTATTTAAATCTTTTATATTCAAACAAAGAATATCATTCAAATAATGTAAATGATCTAAATGTTCTGCTACTAGATCAGATAACCTATTTTGGCTTTGATGACTGAAAAAAACAACATTTTAATAGATTATTCATAAATCAGTTGTAAAACTAATATTAAAAATCTTAAAAAATTAAACTGTATTAAAAATATTAAAAATAAAAAACTGATTCAAAAAGAATTATTATTCAGGCCTCGGATCGACTTAAAGGCACAAAAAAAGTCGTTTTAGTCGATTTATATTCCAAAAAAAGTCGATTTTTTTTATTTTAACAAAAAATTTTTAAATTTTTAAATAATAATAATTTTGAAAAGGATTAAAGTTGAAATTTTAACAAATAACTGAATTTCAAAAGTTAATTTTCAGACAATAATTAAATTTTACAGAACTAAAAATAATTTATCAAATAATTTTAGATAACATTTTTTAAAAGTAACTGAATTCTCAAAGATGATTAATTTTGAATTGAAATTTTTGAGAATAATTGAATTTTAGTTGATTTTTAATTGAAAATTTTAATAATAATTAATTTTGAATTGAAATTTTTGATAATAATTGAATTTTAGTTGATTTTAAATTGAAAATTTGGAAAATAATTGAATTTTAAAAGATTTTAAATTGAAAATTTTGAAAATAACTGAATTTTAAAAGATTTTGAATTGAAATTTTGGAAAATAATTGAAGAATTTATCAGTAATTACAAAAATTGAACTTAAAAATCTTTTTAATTGCAAAATGATTTTAGATAATTGAATTTTCGAAGAATATTATAAAAATAGTTAAAAATAACTGAATTTCAGGAGGATTTTAGAAATAATTAAATTTTAGAAGCTTTTAAATTCAAATTTTTGAATATAATTAAATTTCAATTGAAATTTTGGATAATAATTGAATTTTAGTTGATATTTGATTAAAAATTTTAATAATGATTAATTTTGAATTGAAATTTTTGAGAATAATTGAATTTTAGTTAATTTTAAATTGAAAATTTGGAAAATAATTGAATTTTAAAAGATTTTGAATTGAAAATTTTGAAAATAACTGAATTTTCTTTGATTTTGAAAATTGTGTAATTACTATCCGTTTGAATTGAATAAATAAATAAATAAATAAATAAATAAATAAAATAATTGAATTTTAGTTGTTTTTAAATTGAAATTTTTGAAAATAACTGAATTTTAAAAGATTTTGAATTGATTTGTGATTTTGAATTAAAAATTTCTGGTATTTTTATTTGATTTTTTAAAAATTTTAAACAATTGTTTATCCGAGGCCTGATTATTAAATCATGAAATATACAGTGGTAATGTGGAGCAATAAAGTAAAAAATCCCTAAAATATTAACTCATTTAAATTTTTTTTCAGTTTTGACCAACTTGGATATTAAAAAAAAAATTCATTTTTATTAGGGAGCCTACCCAGAGGCTACGAAAAGGACATAGTGATAATATACACTATACCGTCAGAATTTATGCGAACGCTACTTTTTTGAATAGAACAAATATTCGTTTATTTTCTAAAATGTATGAATTAAAATATTCTCTCTTTAATCTCTTAAAAACTATTCAAATTATGCAAAAAATAAACCCTAAGGAAAAATATTGGGTTAATTTTTAAATAGGATATCGAAAAAAATCTTGAATTTTCATAGTTTTCATTAAATTAACATAATTCCGAAAATAATTAACATATTTAACGTTCTTGGGCTTTTTTTAAAGGTAATTTGACATGTAATAAAAATATTTTTTTTTATAAATGTGATTCCGACGGTAGTGTAGAAGTTTTCGCTTCTTGCAACAGTAGAAAAATAAAGAAAGTACTTACTCAGCATCGTTTCTCACACAAGTATCTAATTCTATGATATGATTTCCAATAAACCAAACAAGGTTACTGAAGTAAGGAGCAGCAGTTTTGTCTCGTATAAAAGCTAGCATAGATGCATCTTCAACTCGATAAACATTTAAAGTCAAAGTACGTACTGCAATACGGACCATTCCTTCAGAGTGATTGAAGAATTTTATTGCTTCGGTATATAGTGGAAAGTCATTTGTGTGCTACAATTTTTATTTATGATATTAAAATTAATAAATTACAGATTTTTTGGAATTGTGGACTTTGGTTTTTTTATTTTTAAAAATATGTTTAATTAAATGTTATTTTTTGTTGTAATAAAAGCACTATCATCTATTAAAATTCAACTAACATAAACCCAAAATTTATTTCTTTTTTACATTTTCTCTTATAGTAAATTAGTAATAAATTTTGTACCCTAAAAACAGAATTTTTAAAATATCCAATATCAAATTTTAAAGTTTAAATTTTTTTAATATTCTCTGTGTCACCTTTATTTTCCATAAATATTACATTCAGTAACTTTTAATTTTTATTTTACTCTGAAGAAAGATTCATTTAAAAAGCATTAGCTAAATTAAAGTTATATTAATATGAATTTCTCATCGAATGATTAAAGAAAAGAAGGTCAAATTTACGAGCAAGAATAACTAAATAAAAAAGGACAAATTTATTGTGTACCTCGTTTACCTCGTTATAAAAAAAGTGAATAGTATGTGCATTTAACTTCAAGCTTAATGTCTTTAGAAAACTTATATAGTATGCCATTACTTCTTCGTCACTGAAATCAAATTTATGAACAATGATGCTGTTTACATGGTTGTTACTCAGTAAATAATCTGAAAATAAAGTATAACATATCACTTAACACGAAATAAAGACAAGTTGTAAATATTTACATTTTTAACATCTTTCTAAATAGGTAATATGAGAGATTCTTTTTCAATCGCCCCAGCCCAAAAAGTCAATGTTCTGGGATTGGCTTCATACTTTGGTAAATTGTTCTCCTATATGATAGTAATAAATCCCTAAAATATAAACTCATTAAAAAAATATTTGTAGAAAGTAGAGGGGGTTGAAGTTTTGACGTTAAGGGTAACATTGTCATTTTCAAATCCGTATAACTATGACAAAAGTTAATGGATTTTAATTTATCTATAATGAATTTTAATGCATTTTTCACGTACTTTTCAAAAATGTATACAAAATTTAAAAAAAAAAATTTTTGACCCCTTTTTTTTCAAAATCAACCCTTATTTTTCGATTTTCACCCCTTCGGGTATTTTTTTTTTTTTTTTTTATTTTCATTGGAAAGCTGAGGTTTTTTCCCATGAGCTATGTAAATATGAAAATGGGACAACAATAATTTTGTGAGAAACAGAATATTAATGTAGGCCGTGCCGATAACGGGTATACCTAAAGATCATCTTCGAGGATTTAGGTAGGCACCGCCTAATTTAATATTCTGTTTCTCACAAAATTATTGTTGTCCCATTTTCATATTTACATAGCTCATGGGAAAAAACCTCAGCTTTCCAATGAAACTAAAAAAAAATAAAAAAAAAAATTCCCGAAGGGGTGAAAATCGAAAAATAAGGGTTGATTTTGAAAAAAAAGGGGTGAAAAATTTTTTTTTTTAAATTTTGTATACATTTTTGAAAAGTACATGAAAAATGCATTAAAATTCATTATAGATAAATTAAAATTCATTAACTTTTGTTATACTTATACGGATTTGAAAATGACAATGTTACCCTTAACTGCACCCTTATCGGCACCGCCTACATTAATATTCTGTTTCTCACAAAATTATTGTTGTTTCATTTTCATATTTACATAGCTCATGGGAAAAAACCTCAGCTTTCCAATGAAAATAAAAAAAAAAAAAAAAAAAATACCCGAAGGGGTGAAAATCGAAAAATAAGGGTTGATTTTGAAAAAAAGGGGTCAACAATTTTTTTTTAAAATTTTGTATACATTTTTGAAAAGTACGTGAAAAATGCATTAAAATTCATTATAGATAAATTAAAATCCATTAACTTTTGTCATAGTTATACGGATTTGAAAATGACAATGTTACCCTTAACGTCAAAACTTCAACCCCCTCTACTGTCTACAAATATTTTTTTAATGAGTTTATATTTTAGGGATTTATTACTATCATATAGGAGAACAATTTACCAAAGTATGAAGCCAATCCCAGAACATTGACTTTTTGGGCTGGGGCGATTGAAAAAGAATCTCTCATATATGGGTATGTTTCTCCCAGAACATTACTTTTGCATGTCCTCATGTTTCCATTAATATTTACAATAATTAATGAAATTGTCAATGCGTATTTAATTTGTTTATTACTTTTTCTTAAAATTTTAACTGAAAAAGTTAAGTTAATTGGCCTATCACATGACTTTATTTTTAATTTTTTAAAAAAAAAATTTAGAACTTAAAAAGCAGTAATAAATTAATATTTTCTGAAAGCTGTGAGGTTGTAAAATATTTCTCCAAAAAGGAGATCGCCAAGATGGTAAAGTCTTGCGAAGTCCAGAAGACAAATCACGCCCCAGCGGATAATGGAGATAGCAATCTTGGTAGGGCTTTAGGTAATGCGGTGGTGAACTGAGAAGAGCGAAACAGGAAAAAAGAGCGTATCCATGAGAATTGACTGCGGCACGCAGCCGCATAGAGGCGCCAGAAACGTAGGAAAAGCTCTAGCAGTCAAGAGGCGAAGAAGAAAAAGCAAGAGGAGCTCTTGTCAAAAAGATTGCGAAGGTGACGGTAGCATCGAATCCTAAGCAAACCAGTAAGATGAAACACGGTTGGCCTGAACTAAATTTTATTCAAACTTTCAGTAACTCTAAATTTTTTTGTTGATTCTGAATTTATATTTTTTTAGGATTATTTTAAGACAAAAAAGAAAAAAATCGGCGGAGGGCTTTTTGAAATATACCATTTTAAAAAAAAAAAATTTTTTTACTAAAAACTAAGTTACAAATTTATTTGAGTTGACTCGTTTTGTTTGTATTTTTTTTAAGCAGTCTAATAAATGTTAAGGTATTTAAAGGATAAGTAGGATTTCATAGCTGCAAAAGGTTTTTAATTTGACAAACAATGTACCGTTGACAAAAAAATATTTTATCGAACTAAATATTTGAAATATAATTTGTAATAAATCTGTAATAAAAATTACAATATTTTTTATACACATTTTAACGATTTATAAATGAAGTTAAATTTTAAAAATGTTTATGCAAAATATATAAACATGTAGCTTCAGATGTGCGAACTATTATACTGACACACTGCACATCTGAAGCTACATGTTTATATATTTTGCATAAACATTTTTAAAATTTAACTTCATTAATAAATCGTTAAAATGTGTATAAAAAATATTGTAATTTTTATTACAGATTTATTACAAATTATATTTCAAATATTTAGTTCGATAAAATATTTTTTTGTCAACGGTACATTGTTTGTCAAATTAAAAACCTTTTGCAGCTATGAAATCCTACTTATCCTTTAAATACCTTAACATTTATTAGACTGCTTAAAAAAAATACAAACAAAACAAGTCAACTCAAATAAATCTGTAACTTAGTTTTTAGTAAAAAAAATTTTTTTTTTTAAATGGTATATTTCAAAAAGCCCTCTGCCGATTTTTTTCTTTTTTGTCTTAAAATAATGCTAAAAAAATATAAATTCAGGATCAACAAAAAAATTTAGAGTTACTGAAAGTTTGAATAAAATTTAGTTCAGGCCAACCGTGGAAAGCGATGAGTGGATCTACAGCGGGAATCTCGCTCTAAGCGATGCGAGCTTTTAATCACGGCCCCCACGGTTCCAACACCAGATGACCGGCCAAGGACAAGTAATTTGCCGGATCAAAAAAACAATTCCAAGTGGGCACCCGATCCCCGTGGTACCATTAGACTCAGGTGCAAGTATCAGTCTGAGGATTCTATCTAATCCTCGAGCCTGACCGCCCCCGAGTGGATCTACAATGGTGATCCAAGTCGCAACAGTAACATCGTAGCCGACGTACTAAGCAAACTTTGGACGAAAGTGAATTCGGACGTCAGCCACACGCAGGTCATGGGCGAAAGACCTACACGAAATTTAGATCAACTGATCAAAATCGGAGGAGACTCCAATAAGGAGGCATTCACCGTTGAGGTCCCAAAGCGATTGGAGCATGGGATTGCCTTACCTAATAAGAAGAGGTTCAACAGGCGTTAGAGGAAGTGCTCCAGGAGCCAGAAAAGTGACGGTCCTAAGACCCAACTGACGAGAAATAAAGCTCGTAGTTGTAGTTACCGTCTCACAGGAGGCGGACAGTTTGGAGAAAATGTGACGAATAAGGATTGGCTTTATGTGTTGTCCAATAAAAAGAAGGATAATGACCTATGAAGTTTAAAGCTTGACGGTAGTTCCGTAGTGTGAGGATTAGTAATACAAATAAATAGAAATAATATCATTAGTGTTTAATTAATTTATAGTGTGGAGTTTCTTTTAACATTGATCTTAAATAATGTAAAACGGTTGCGAGAAGTCGAAGAATCCGGAAGCAATTGAACCGCTGGCGATCAAAACGGTTTACGCATGACTTGTTGGCCCCGCGTTCAGCAAGTTTCCAGCTATTCCAGGGGCCAATGAAAACCTCGCCTAAGCCCTTTTGGTCGCCGGCGATTCAATTAGTGTCATAAGGTGTCGAATTGTCCATCCGGTGCACGGATTTTTTGAGACAAAAACAAGGAAAAATTACAGACAAAATCTGAAGAACCATTTGCAGCTCTCAAGATATTCCCACACTGATTATTAAAATCTACTGAATGACCACTTCAGGATCCAAATAATTCCACGATGTGTCGTGTAATATAAATTATGCTTTAGTTAAAACGTAAAAGATACTTACATAAAGAAGTTTCATTACGAATGTTCTCAAATAAAATATTGAGCGTTTGTAGTAATTGTACACATACATAGCTGCCACATTTTTGTTTCATTATTCGTAGAAAGAACGATAACATATTCTTTTCTAAGAAAAAACTGTAAAATATTAATATTTATTATTAGGTCAGAAAAAATATTTCATAACCGAAAAAATAGATAGATGATTATTGTTAGCAAAACATATAAAATTGATTAAATTAACATACATAAAAAAAGGGAAATTCTTAATGTAGTACTTACTCAAATACGCTACTATCATTCTGATCTCCCCAGATTAAAATTTCAGCTATTGATCTTAAAGTTTCCACCAACAAACCTCTGTTATTGTCCGAAACTATTTGATTTTTCGATAGGATATTATATAAATATCTGAAAAAAATGTATTTTTTTATTTTGCGATTGTCAATTAACAGCAGTGCATACAACTTTATTTTCTAATGTATAAAAAGTTGAACAAGTTCTTGTGAACTTTTCCGAAATTCAAATGTAAGTTGATTTTGTACAGGATCTTGTAAAGGAATTTTCAACTTGGTGAATTTAGTAATAATAAAAAAACTACATTTATAATAATTGATATGGGAAAATCCACGGAACCGTAAAATTAGAGGTTACTCCTCTGATTTAAATTATTTTAATTACATTATATAATTTTTTTTCTTGGTACCAATATCTTTTTAATAAAATATTTAACGAAAAAAGCTAATAAAATAATAATTTTTATACTAGTCTTGTGTAATGAAAATTGTTTAGGAACTTAAATGATCAAAGATTTGTTATTTTGAAAATTTTTTGCGCGCGTCGATAAAAAAATTTGTAATTAATAAACTATTTATTTGAACCACATTTTTTTTCTCGATAATCAATCCTTAATAAATATTTTTTCAGCTTTTGTTTATAAAATTGAATATGGTCATCCAGAACACGTTTATTTTTTAATTTATTTATAATAAACAATTATTTTTCATAACAAGTAAAAAGTTTTGAAATATTTTGTGAAAAAATTATGATAAATAAGAATTCGATTAGATAATAATTGTTAAACAAATATTGTATAATGAAAAATTCAAATTAAATAAAATTCAATTAGGGTCAGTTGGGGTAAATGGGGACAAAATCAATAATTTTTAATAATTTCAATAGTTTCTTAAAAATTTAATTATTTATTAAAGTTTAAATAATAAATTTTTTTATATTTAATTCTTGTCTGAAATTTGTATAAAAAAATTCAGGAGTATGAATTTATAAAAAATTTCAATTTAAAATCGCCTGAAATTCGATTATTTTAAAAATGTAACTTGTTAATGTTTAAAAATTAATTTTTTTTGATACATTTCCGAAAATTTTGTACGTATTAATTTTTTTTTACAGTAATCAAAATTTCAATTCATATTAATGGACAACAGAGTATTCAGAGCAACGAATATAGCAATAAATTCATTAATAAAAGTAAGAAATAATGATTTTTTTTACTTCAAGAGATATTTAAAATAATAATGTTAAAACTCATTATTTTTGAATCATAATTATCTTTAATCTGTAAATTTAAATTAGGTTGTAACTTGATATTAGCTAAGAAAACTTAAAGATTTCAAAACTTATAAAATACAAATAAATATTTAACATTTAGAATAATTTATTTTTAAAATAATTATTTATTTTTTTATTATAATATAATATAATAACTTTATTTGTTATATAACTTTGAAAAAATTGTAAAAAAATCGAAAGTTTTTAATTAGAATTATGTATTTGAAAACAGTAATTTGAAGAACTTGAATGTTTAAAAAGCAAGAAATTTTTTTTAAATTTGTAAAGTGATAAAAATGATGACAAACTATTTTTAATAAATTCTAAAGTTATGAACATTTTAATGCTTTATTTCTGTTATTCATTAACCGTTTATAATATAACCAGAGCATTCAGTACTGTGCGGAGAATATTCAGAGCTCTGGAATTTATTTTTTTGGTTTACACAGTATTCAGTGCTGTGAGAAAAAATACTCAATGCTTTTAGATTTACTCCGTGTAGATAAATTGTTATAAGCTTTAGTTAGTCATTTTCTATTAATTGTGAAATATGATTTCTTGATAAATAAAATTTTGTTAAAGTTTTTTTTTTATTATAATTCTTTCAGCATTAAATAAAAATGGTTCACTCAAAAAAATGTTAGTTCCGGAATATATTTTTCTAACATATACAACCATAAATAAAATGTGTTTGCAATTTAAAATTTTTGTATATTTATATCATTTTATCAACGGTTCCGTGGATTCACTTATATAAAAATCAAACGTAAGGACAGATATATTGGTTTTTGTAAATTTTTTGTAAATAAAACCTTTTTGCAACTGTATATTGAGAAAGTTGAATCCCTGTTTGACAGGATTTCCAGATCTCGTTTTCTCTCAAATGTTCTTTTTTACTTGACTCGGAAAGAATGATTTTTTATATCTATATAATTGCTACAATAATTAGCACTTATGTTCAAAATGTGTCTTCCTTTGTTGCCCTTGAGCACAATCTTTTTTATATTCATTTTGACAATGTTATATTTTAACTGCTTTAATATTAATAATTTTTTCATTTTTTTTATAAATAAAATAGTATCGTATGTTTTTTAATTTCAAAATAAATTGATTTTATCTGTGTAATTAATTTCTGGCCTGAGAGGTTATAAAGCAAATCCTTGCTGACCAACTGTCAGGATTATTCATGTTGACCTTCTCTTAGTCATATTTTTTTTTAGAATTTTGATTAACATTATTAACCATAAAAGGGAACAACACATATTTAGTAAAAAGTATATCCTTACTTAAGATGTTCTAAAGAGTGGCGATTTTTTGGTTTCCAAAACCCTCCACCAAACCAACTGCGACTACGAAACATTGTTTAGATTCTTTTTAAGAACCTACATAAATTCATAAGTATTAAACAATCCTAAAGTTAAAAAAAACTATAATCAAACACTATGTATTTAATTTCATTTTATTTTGACACATGCAAAACTTTCATTCACAAACAGAAATGTCAAAAACACGGTCATACATATATGTAAATACTTCATTAAACCTACACAGAATTGCTTTCAAAAACTTATATCTCTATCCTTTTCTATCTCATTTCTTGTTCGTGAACTTTAAGGTTTGATCAGAATGGATTCGGGAAGCTTTCATGTTGATTCTACACTTAAGGCGCTTGTATACCTCACCGATCCCGAGTATACTTGCGTCGTGTAACATTGGATTAAAAGAGACGGAAATATCTTTTGTCTCTTTTACTCCAATGGTACACGACAGAAGTATACTCGGGATCGATGAGGTGTACAAGCGCCTTAATGGAGCATAAGGTTATTCCCACGAGAAATTTTCTCGTGGGAATGAATGCTGATAGGCTGATAGGTGCACCAGCAAGCAACCATCTTAGCTTTCCCCCACCCAACTTGAATAACCTTATTACACCTTTGGTAAAAAAAATTTTTATTTTGCATTTTCCAAAATACACAAATCTGATTGATTGTTCACAATCTGATTGATTGATAATGGACAACCAATCAGATGTTTGCATTTCGGAAAATCAAAGTAAAAAATTTTGTTTACCATGGAGCTTCTACAATAGGTCCGAGAGGCAAGTACAAGTCCAAGTGCGAGTGGCTCGGACTTTTTTGCGCGCGCATCGTGTTGACTTTTATTTTTGTAAGATATTTGATAATAAATAGTAATTAATTAATAATTTAACAATTAATTAATTAATAATGAGTAATTACCATCAATTATCTTAAAAAAATAAAAATTACACGATGCGCGCGCAACAAAGTCCGAGCCACTCGGACTTGGACTTGTTTGTACTTGCACTTTACTGTCGGACCTATTGTAGAAGCTCCACCAAAGGTGTAAATGCTCCATTACACAGTGACGTCAGAGTCGATTCTAAGTATAAAGGTGCTTTTATACCTCCAGTATTTTGGTCAAGCAATCGGTTGGATTGAATTTTCACGGTTGTATCACTAAATTTGATTGGCTCTGACAAATAAAAAATTGAATATTGTTATGGAGCATTTACATTTTCGGTAAAAAAATTTCTTTACTTTGCATTTTCCGAAATACACATACCTGATTGGTTGTCCAGAATCTGATTCATTGTGGACAACCAATCAGGTAAGTGTATTTCGGAAAATGCAAAGTGAAGAAATTTTTTTACCGAAGGTGTAAATGCTCCATTAAAGGTGCTTTTATACCTCCAGTATTTTGGTCAAGCAATCGGCTGGATTGAATTTCCACGGTTGTATCACTGAATTTGATTGGCTCTAAAAATATTCAATTTTCACGGTGGAAATGGAATATTTGTTAGAGCCAATCAAATTCAGTAATACAATCGTGAAAATTCAATCCAGCCGATTCCTTAAAGGTGCTTATATACCTCAAATTTCGATCAGATGAACATTATTTCTGGACCGTGAAAATGCGTGAAAAGTCATTTTCACGGCGGGTATTTTTGAATTGTTTTATACAAAAAATGTTTTTTTAAGAAATATAATATTAAATAATTGTTTTAATATGTAAGAACACTTTAAAATAGTGATAGAGAGATGATTTGATTAAAAAATTTAGCAAATTTTGCTTTAAAACGTTTTCTGCTACAAGAAAGTATAAAATGACGATGTTTGTGAAATGGTTTGTACAGTGTACATGTTTACATGTTTCCATGTTTCTTTCAGTTATTCGAAACAATTAGTTGAATTTAAATTTATTTGATAAACATTTCAACTTACCGATTTATTTTCAGCACTCATTATTTATTACAAGTTAAAAAGAACCGACATAACATAAACAAAACTCTGAGAAACACTCACAAGGAAGAAGCACTGTACAAACCATTTCACAAACATCGTCATTTTATACTTTCTTGTAGCAGAAAACGTTTTAAAGCAAAATTTGCTAAATTTTTTAATCAAATCATCTCTCTATCACTATTTTAAAGTGTTCTTACATATTAAAACAATTATTTAATATTATATTTCTTAAAAAAACATTTTTTGTATAAAACAATTCAAAAATACCCGCCGTGAAAATGACTTTTCACGCATTTTCACGGTCCAGAAATAATGTTCATCTGATCGAAATTTGAGGTATATAAGCACCTTTACCAAAATACTGGAGGTATAAAAGCACCTTAAAGTTGTGACCGCAGCTTGAAATCAGCGATCAAAAAAATTGATTAGGTTGCCCTCTGCAATTTGCAAAGAAGAACTAAAAAGTTTCTTCCGTAATAAGCGAGGATTTTCTAGAATTAGGTTTTCCTACTTTATAATATATAGTTTTTAATGTCTGTAAACATTAGATAACAAATTATAATAATAGTGAAGATTTTCAAATGGCATCAAATTTGTTAGTTATGACAACACGTGTTGTTAATAACCTTAGAAATATAAATCATCTTGGGCAAGTGTAACTTTTTTAAATTCCATATAAATTTTTTAATTTCGTAGTAGAGCAATTGGAATGAGACATGTTTTGACGTTCAGTTTTGTCTATTCATAACATGGAACATTGGACTTTTTTAATCTAATTATTCTAACACTTAATGTTAGATATTGAATCTTACCAAAAAATTATAAATTATTTGATATTCTTTCAGAAATAATGAAATTGTTATTAAAATATTATTTTTTAACCCTTTATATCATAGAATAGCATATGTTACGTATACCTTTTATCGTTTTTGTGTATAACATTTTCGAAGTGGCGAACACTGTGCATATGAATACTATTTATTTCAATCGTAGTAATTCATTTTCTTATAAACACAGAGATTAATGAAACTATAATTATAATTTTTAAATTATATAAAATCAGGGTTAGTGTAAAAATGTGTAATTGAAATTCTAGACCTTTTAAATAATAATAATATCTTTACTTTGTTCTAGGCAAACCGTAAGAACAATAATTAAAATACAGAAAATTATTACATATAAGAAAAAAGAAAAATTCAATAACATAATAAAAATATAGCATCATTCCATATTGAAATAATAATTAATGGATTTTTTCTAATAAAACCATACATACTAAAAAAAACAGAAATATGAACCAACCATAGTAAAATATAAAGAATCAGCTCAAACATTATACATATACACTTCCGACGGAAATTGTGCGACCGCTGCATTTTCAATAACTATAAACTGTTAAAATCTTTACAAATATTAAAACTAAAATTTTTTCCTTATCATTTTATTAAAGCTAATAAAATTCTGAAAGAAATGACACCTTCACAAAGAGAATTTATGTTAATTTTTCAATTGAATATCTAAGAAAAACCCAAATTTTTAATGTTTTTACAATTTTCTTTATTTCTCTGGCAAAAATTAATATTTTTAAACGTTCTTGAGCTCATTGGAATCGTATTTTGCTATACAATTCAAATTAATTAAAACAATTCATGTACACATTCTTCCCTCGTGTATGTAAACCGTGAAAATTGGCTCAAAAAAAGTCAAAACATTATAATCAATATTTAAATGACAAAAAATGATCAGTAAATGTGTAAATCTTAAATTTACTTACATAAATCAGAGAAGTTTAAGATGATCTATTTATTTGTTTTTTAAATATTACATTTTGTTGTAGAATTGAACTTTAATTTTTTGACTTTTTTGAGCCAACTTTCACGGTTTGCATACGCTAGGGAAGCATGTGTAAATAAATTATTTAAAATATTTTGAATTGCATAAGAAAATACGATTCCAATGAGCCTAAGAAACTTTAAAAATATTAATTTTTGCCAGAGAAATAAAAATACACTGTTAGAAATTTCTGTCGGAATTTTTTGTAAATAGCAACTGAAGTTTTATGCTGTTATGTGTTACGTAAATTTTGTTACCATTTCGGAATTTTCTGAAACACAACAGAAAAATTCAGTTGCTTGCATGAAAATTTTGTTACCGTTTCGGAATTTTCTGAAACAGCAGAAAAATTCAGTTGCGTGTATGAAAATTTTGTTACAGTTTCATAATTCTCATGAGTTTTGCTGAATAAAATTTTAGTTACACGTAACTAAAAATTCATTACTGTAATAATATATTCAGTGATGTTTTAGTTACTTCTAATTTAGAGGTTAAGATCGTTTCAAGACTCTGAATATAGCCGCAAGTCTCCCCTCCCTTCTCTTCTACCCCTCTTCTCTTGACTTGCGGCTAAATTCAGAGTCTTGGAACCCCCATTCTCTAAAATTTTCGAGACAAATTCTGAACGGTACGTGAATTGCATGGTAGGCGAGTACAGCGAATTCCAGCGTAGTGTCGAAATTCCCCCCTCCCCTCCTTTCCACCTCCCCACCCTAAATTTAGAGGTTAAAATCGTTTTAAGACTCTGAATATAGCCGCAAGTCCTCCTCCCTCCCTTCTCTTCTACCCCCCTTCTCTTGACTTGCGGCTATATTCAGTCTTGGAACAGCGGCGGCGGCGTTGGCGGCGATATCTTTTTGTAATATAGGTGGATATAAATTATATCCAAATTATTTTTATAAATATTTAAAGTTATATTACAGTAAAATAAAATTTTATTATATACATAATATAAAATATAATTATCAGTAAAAAATTGTATTAAAACTTAAAAAATATACTGTTTTTAAGTCAAATGAGTTAAATTGCAAAAAGATTCCTCTGTTTTCAATAATGCATAAAATCTTCAATCTTGTTAGAAAGCTTCGATACTGAGGCACTTATAGATGTACGTCGCCGCTTTGCGCATACTGCCCTTTTACCTTGGTGTTCAGCTGGATTAATTTTGCAAATGATTCTGAAAAACACAAATAATTTTATTTATTTAATCGAATATTACTATATATATTTAAAGGTAATTTTACAAAAACAATAAAAGTAACTTATAGTCATTAATGTGGTTATATATATATATATAATTTAAGTTATAATTTACTTTTGAATATATTCCAAGGTTTCAGCTGCCTGCAATGAATACGTGTATCCAAAAATGTAGTAAAATAAAAATGTTACTAATAGTCCTTGGAGAACATTGTTCACTTCAATGACCACTTTCTTCTCAAAAACTACTTTGCATTTGTCTGAATTATATAAATTATATCATATATAAATTCTTAATAATTATTTACCTGCAACTATTAAGGTTGGAACATATTCTCATTGTCAAGGTGTCATTTCTTTCAGAATTTTATTAGCTTTTATAAAATAAAAAGAAAAAAAATTTTAGTTTTAATATTTTTGAATATTTAAACCGTTTTGTAGTCATCGAAAAAGCAGAGGTCGCATAATTTCCGACGGTAGTGTAGATTAATCATAAAATAGTTAGAACCAATAAAAATAAAATTTAAACACAAATATTCCATCATACATTAAAATTAATTAAATTATAAATTACATGAGAAAAGAACAATCACATAAAATCATATAACAAAATTTAATTATGACTATCCAATAAATACTTTGAAAGTTTCCATTTAAAACAGACAAGACTAATCGCGCTTGTAATTGATTAAACTGTGAAATTTTAGTAAAATTTAAACTAATTTTCAGTTCGTAAAAATTTGTTTATTTGTCCCGTCAACGAGCCGAATAAGCTTCTTTTATTATTTGGCCCGTAACCCCACTTCTATACTGCCGTACGATGTAAAAACTTAGGTAACCGACATTGACGCTTAGACTGATTGTAGCCTGTTTATTACTACTGAAATCAGCCTAAGCGACAATGTCGGTTACCTAAGTTTTTACATCGTACGGCAGTATACATTTCAAGACGGGCCAAATAAAAAAATTATCTTATTTTGCCAGTCATATAAAAAAATGTTTAAAATAAAAACGGGCCATATAAAGAATAGTAAATTATTTAGTCAATTTTTTCATGTACGATTTCAAACAATGGTTTTGAGTCAAAACTGTTAACATATTTTCCTAAATAAACAGTTTTAAAACTCAAAAATTGTGCTTTTTTCTAAAAGAATTTGGAACTAAAAGTGTTAATAACAAGTTCAATTAAATCAATTTGAAAATATTTAATTATTGCAGTTTAATTTTTGATTAGTGATAGTAATTATTGTTACTACAATAGTGTCATTCCATTATTTTTCGACTAATGTCGTTGCCGACTAATTTTAAAAAATTATAATACTTTGCAGAAATTATTTTAAAGGAGTCAATATCACGAAATAAAAAGACTGTTTTTTAAAATTTGTATTATTTTTTGTAAAATGTAGATTTAAAGTATATGAGGTGCTGGAAACTGTCACTTTTTCATCTAATATAAAATATTAAAGAAAAGATAATAATTTCAATAAAATTTGGCATTTCTTAGAACAGGAAAGATATGTTAAAACATCTTTTTAACGTTTCAAAACCGGTACCGGTTTCCTCGTCAGAATTTATTAATCTATAATTTTATAAATATTATTAATACTAGCGATGTATTCCTCGCTCGCTAACGCTCGCTCGTTTATAGTTGTACTTATTGTTGTTTACTTATTGTAGTTTATGCATATTATATATATAATTTATGTTTTAAATTAATATTTTTTTAATATTGTATAAAATTTATCTTAATTTTGATCAGTATCATTGATGGATGAAATGACAATTGTTAAATATTAGATGTTTTTTTATTATAATTATGACAACAATATTAATTATATTATATTATATAATAATGAGTAAGAATTTCTGAAACGTGCCACCTAAACCTGAAAAAATTTATTTTTTGTTAAAATGTAATTTTTCTTGTAGTATTTTATATGCACAATCACCCCCTAAAACGATTTTGCAAAAAAAAATTTTTTGTTATTAACAATTTAATATTTTTGACCCTTTTTTAAACAAATTAATTTCAAAGAAATTTATTGATCGATTTTAGTGATCTAAACGGCATTCTTCTTGTCTTGAACCATAGTTTTATTGATATTTTTTTGGTGCAAAAATATTGATTTTTATTGCAAAAAAAAAATTGTTTATTTATAAACAAATAGTAAAAAACCATGAAAACAATCGAATTTCAAAATGAAAAAAATAGCTTCATATACTTAAAACCCTTCTGAATAATATTCCGTCGAGAAAAAAAATGGCACGCATTTGACAATTGGTTTATTTTAACATTTTAACAAAAAATAAATTTTTTCAGGTTTAGGTGGCACGTTTCAAAAATTTTTACTCTAATATATCATATTATATTATAGTGCGATTCCAAGTGAGATTTTGACTTTTTCGGAGTAGGTTAACCGATTGCAATGAAACTTTGGAATTTTGTTATATATAATAAGACTAATCTTTAACGTAAATTTCAGCCTAAAATATTTGTTAGTTTACGAGATTTGCAATAACAAAAAATTTAAAACTGCTATATTTAGTCCACGAATCACGTCAGTTGGCTATGTGAGAATGCTGCGTGCGCAATGTCGTCTGCACGTCAACTAGCAG